TTTTTTTTTTTTTTTTTTTGCGCGCGGCGGAAAACGATCCCCCAACGGAGACGACGGAAATGGGTGGCTTTTGATTTTTACATCTAAGATGATGGATGAGATTCTTTTTCCCCCTCCCCTAAGTAAATATTGGGGTCTCACTTTTCGTAGGCTATATCACGTGTTGCTTAAGGATATTGCGCGTGAATAAGAATTATGTAGAGAATTATCAGCCGCACGACGGCGGAATACGCGCATCGGCTCGCTTCTGTTCCGTTTTCTACGAGCGAAGGTTAACTCGCGGTCTTCGTTTCGAAGTAATCGGTGAGCCAATCGTTCACGTCTTTCGCGTTCATTTTTATCCAGTGAATGTTGAACTTCACCATTTCTAGACTCTGCAGTAGTACGCGATTGCCGTTGCGAACGTCGTGCTGTTTGAAGAAATCCACTACCTGCAAAACAGTTTTTGTCAAAGTGTTTTCGGGCGACGTGTCGCGACGCGATTTCGGAGAAACGTATCGTTTGATATTTTTTCTTACCTCGCGAAAATCGTACTCGGTGATGAAGTTGGGAACGATCGTGGCTATGAGATTGTTTATCGAGAGCGATTCGTTCACGTACAGAGCCTCTATCTGGGGCCAGTAGGCTTTAATGTGGCGCCAAGCAAGATCGTAGGAGTTGGCACCTACGGACGTTATCATCGTGTCGACAGATTTCGCCGAGAGCTTCGCTTGCGCGATCAGATCTTGTCTCATCGAATTGCGAAGGTAAAGCTTAAGCAGCCAGGGATCCGTTGTTGCGCCTAGAGCTTGGAGCAATTCCGTCTTCTCGCTCTCGACTTGCGTGTCGTGCGGTATGTTGAGAAAAAATTGCCAGCACTTACGCCACTCGGTCTCCCCGCCGAATTTGACACCTTAAATTTGCGCGCAATTTTTTTGCATTCTTTGTTACGTTACTCTTCAAGTTTAAAAATACTTGAAATATATCAGTTCTTTTTTACAACGACACCGAAAAAATTATATTCTTGTAAGTAGAAGATTTGATACTTAAAAAATCTTCTTAAAGATTTTAGATGATATTCTTCTGAAATTAAGAATATATTCTTTATTTAAGAAAATATTCTTAATTTAAAATATAGTCTTTTTCGATAGTGAGATATATATATGTTTTTCTATAGAGACTTTTTATATTCTAATCAGTATATATTCTTATCAATATTACTATTTAGAGGATTTTCCTCTTAAAATAAAAGAAACTCTTCTTGGCGTCTATTTTAGTATAAAATATACTTAAAGTAAGTGGGATATCCTCAAAATAAGAATACAATTTTTTCGGTGGAGTATTTGATACACGTGAATTACACAAACACGCCGCGTTTTTTATTTACCTGCCAAGTAAACGATATATCGTAGATTGGGCGCGACGAATTTATTTTTCGACATCCGTTCCTGAAAGAGAGTCTTCGCGGAATTCACCACATCTTCCATTCCGAGTTCGATGGCGGATTCCAATATCGCGGTTCTTAAAAATCTGTGTCGAGGTGGCAAAATATTTTAGAATTTTAATTTAAAAGAATTAAGAAACAACATATAAAACAATCAAGATGTGCGTTTTGTCACTAACTTATGCAGGTGAGAGCCTTCGTCCTTCCAACCGACAAATTTCGTAATCGGACCCAACAATCGCTTCCAGAATGAGATGTATTTCTTATAGGCTTCGCTCTCGCCGAGTCTTCTTTTCCACGAGTTCAAATATCGAAGCGCGGTCGCCCACGGCACGTAATCTCTTTCGTTGACCAGATAAAGCGAGAGTTTCAACGGGACGGAAACGTTCAGCTCGCCCGCGTCGCATAGCGAAAACGCGTCGTCGATGAGATTCGCCCGATCGGCCGGACTGAACCTGGTGTGATTTGTCATCAGCGTCTTGACGATCGAGTCCCACATCTCGTCCGGATAATTGACCCGATAGAACCCAGTTTGATTGATGTTGCATTTGATGTATTCGTCGCTCGGCATCTCGAAAGTCGCTAAGCGAAATTAATAACGCGCTTGTTTTAAAGTTACTCTAAGTACGCAATTAAAAATAAGATATACGCGTTTTACACATGAAATGAATAAAACATACACACAGTAAAATCGTGATATAAGTATGCTGTGTATGTTACCATTAGTCATATTCATCCACACCTCCTTGATTTCTGGCTCTTTGTCCGCGTAGCAGTTCAACGGAACGAACCACTTGTAACGCGAAACGTTCATTCTGCTCTTTTGCGGCGAAATGAGGAATCTCTTCTGAGTGACAGTGACGGTCTCGCCGTCGCGTGCGATGGTCACGAGCGGATAGCCCGTTTGTTGCGTCCAGGTGTCCATTATTTTCTGCCGATATAATTTTCAGTTTTTTATTAAATACATAAATATATAAAAACTTCTTCATTTTGCACTTACTCTTATGTTAACGTCGGTGTTAGGCTCAGTTGAATTTCTCGCGTGCTTAGTTAGAACCTCCCAGAAATCGTTGATGTCCGTGTTGCCGTACGCGTGCGAGTTCAGATAATCGTTTAACGCGTGTTTGAAAACGTCCTCGCACACAACCTTCTCGAGCATGTAGAGAATCGCCGGGCCCTTGAAACACGTGATCTCGTCGTATATGTTCTTGATCTCCGTGGGATTTTCAAACGGTATGCTCATCGGGTGGCTGTTGGCCAGAACATCGAGTTCGAGCGCTACTTGGGTTTTGCGCAGAATGAACAGATCCATCATGTTCCAATCGGGCGAAATGTGATCGACGCTTTTGTACTCGAGGAAACTGGCCGCTCCCTCCTTCAGCCAGATGTCGTTCCACCAGCTCATCGTGACGAGATTACCGAACCATTGATGGGCCAGTTCGTGGGCCAAAGTGATCGCTATATTTTCCTGAATCGCCGTGGACACGTATTTCGGTTCGAACTGCAGGAGCGGCTCTTGGAAAGTGATTAGGCCCCAGTTTTCCGTAGGTGGAGCAAGATTGGGAATTGCTATAAGATCTGAACAACAAGAAAGAATATGTTTATCATATATGAAGCACGTATACCTACTGTGTTTTTTATTTTGTACGCACGTACCTTGTTTTGGCAAGGGGTAAGATATGCCGAAAAACGATTCGAAGTAGTCCATAATGCGAGCAGCGGTGCTAACGGCGTATTTCATTCGATTAATTACATTTGCCGCGGCGTAAATGCTCACAGATGTGTTTCTCTTGGTTAACTCGTAAATCCTGTCGTAGTCACACACCACGAAGGCCACGAGGTACGTCGACATTTCGACGGATTCTTGAAAATCATCGCGTAACTGAGGACAAATAAAAATAAATAACATCGATGACCGCAGATGGTTGATTGTAAATATTGTAATTACAATTTGTGAAAAAAACTCACGAGATTTGTTCCCAGATAAAATCCAGCTTCTTCGGTATTTATCACGGGCATGTTGCACAAAGCGATGTGAAATCTATCCCTGTATATCGAGACCTTGAATTTGGCTTTAAATTGCGGCTCGTCGAAACAAGGAAACGCTCTGCGCGCGTAAGTCGGCTCGAACAGAGTCGTGGCCAGATATCTGAAAAAATTGAGAAGAGAGGAAACGATTTTTTTGACGAGACCGCACACTTCGGCCGATAATTGAGTATTCATTAATTGCAATTTCGTACTTCTGTTCTCCGTTGGCATTGACAAAACTGCTGATATAGAATCCTTTAAGTTCGGTGGAGATAAGCGTCGAGTTGAAACTCAGAAATAACGTGTAGTTGTTTTTCTTTCGAAGCGTGGTCTCCAATTCCAAATAGAGTTGCTCGCGTTTCGGATAATCGATAAACCTCGCGATCTTTAGTTCTTCTTGACTATTTCCATCTTTGACTATCTGAAAAAAAGTGAAAATCCCTCGAAAATCAAACGGGCGTGTGCCAATACTCGCGCGAACGCGACTCGCGGATTTACTTACCTGTTCCTTTATTGTCAAGTTTTTACTATGGAAGACGATAAAGTTGGTCTCAACGTCGACATAGAATTCGATCGTGACTCGTCCTAAATAACAGGAAAAATCAAATTTGTCAAAGAGGGTTACGATGCGTAAGTTTTTTTTTTTTTTTTAACGCGAAAATATAATTTACTCACCTCTAAAATCTAAAGTGGTAAGATTGGGATGTATGGTGAGATTGTACCTAGTAGGATGTGCGAACGTGGGTAACCTGATGTTATCCCATGGAAACATCTGTAAAAATTTTTTCATACAATTCACTTGCTCGCTTTGCTAAACAAAAGTTAACATTTATCTTTCTCTTTCTATTACGACACATCGAAATAATCGCGTACTTCTCCATTGTCCATCCGCGGAAGATCATCCTCTTCATCGTCCACCGTTCTGTTGGATAATTCCTCAGTACAATCACAGCCTGGCAAAATAATAATCGGATTTTACATGCGTGACGTCTGAGAATAATAGAAAACTTTGATGAGAGAGCTACGAATGTTTCGACAATTAAATATACCATTTCGCAAAGGCGCAAGAGCTATGATGAGTGACGTAATGAGAAGTACCAGGCAACAGATGCAAAGCACAATGTAAGTCTTTCTCTCGGAACACCTAACGACCTCATTTGCGCGCTCGTAAAAATTACGCCTGTGCAATCCCGCGTTGCTATCTTCTGAAACAAAGAATCTCTCCTGCAGAAAGAAACAAGAACTAACAAAAAAATGTTTTATTTTTGGACGCAATATTATTTAGTTCTCCTCTTGAACTGCGACGAGAATAATATAATTGAAAAGAGATTGATGTGGTTCAATTTAATTTTGCTGTTATTTTTTTCGATGTTAAAAAAAAAAAAATCTCTTATCTCTTTGTTTGTGTTTCATCAAAAAACTTGTGTTTTAAAAATAGATCTGTTTCGTTCTGGTTTTAAAATAAACATGTTCGAGTTATTTTTACAACGTGTAGTAAAACACGTAGTACACAACACATGTTTGTTTGTAATCGCGCGCGCACAATGCCATTCTCGAACAACCTTTATCAGCGACGTCACAGACGTCGCGTCTGTTGTCAATAAACGGAGTTACTTCCCCGTGTAAGAGAAACCTCGCTGCTAAGGGGATAAATAGCGATAATAAACGCGTGGGCGAGAACGCGTGTGTTTTGTGCGCGTGTTACTTCAAAAGATCAGAGAGGGAAGCTTTTCTCTTATTGATCGCACGCACGTGCTTCTCGTACAGTCTATTCGCAGCACGGAGGGTTGGAAGTAGGCCATCTGGTCAAGCTATTCTTATGGAAAAGGAAAGGCGATGTTCAGCGATGCACGTTGAAGGCACGTCAAAAAGGGAGCATCGAGGGCGCGTTAAAAGTCACGCGATTACATTCCGCGATTCCCCTCCCCCGGAGATTCCAAATACCCCTCCGGAAAAAGACACTCACCTGTCAGAAAGGCAACGTCATCCACATCCTGCTCGCTCATCGCGAACCGATTTGGCGGTCTCCGATGAACGACTTCTTTTACCTGACCGTCAGTCGAGGCATAGGCGACTTTTATGAGCGGCTCTCTCTGTTCAGCCAGTATTCGTGTGGAACTCGTGGCTCAATCGGCGCGCCTCGATAGCGCTTTTTCCCCCTTCGATCGGGTTTTCGGCCGTTCAGCCGCTCACCCCCCCCAAGGTTAAGGGCTCAACGAGACAGAATTCTGATTTTGACAAACGGCCTTGAGAGAATTCGCCGTGAATGAGCCGGCTCGCGTGTGTCGCAACAGTTCGAGCCGCATCAATTGCGATCGATTCGAGACCTCCTCCTGAATGTCCGCCACCAGGAATCCCGTGTATATGACTGTGTGTGTCAAACGTCTCGCAAGCGGAGCAGCAACTTGACCGAGTTTGGCCTGGTCGCGTCCACCTTGACGCGTCCAACTTTTCGCACGGACGATCTCAATTCTTTCGAATCGATCTTCGTGACGATCGACAGTGTGTGTGTGTGTGTGTGTATGCGTGTCGATCGAGGTGACAAATGCGGCGCGAGAGATTTCCGAAATCACCGGAAATAGATAATCGCGTTATATCAAATATCGGATCTCTGATCGGCACTTAATCGGCAAGAGAACTCGTGCGTGCGACACGGTCGTTTTTCTGACGCACCGAGCACAGAACCAAGATTATCGTAAAACACCACCACCAACACCGACAGCGTGATGATCGACCTTTTTCGCGAGAAACCGCCAATGCGCGACGTGCAGAATAAGCGAGAGCTCACGATAGCCGAATAGCCGAGTAGCCCGACACCGTCGGCGAGTCTATAACACGCGACATTCCTTGACATTTCATTGGCATTAGAACGTGGGATATAGCTACTGCGGTGTTAGGCAGAAATGGCGGCTTTCCAAACCCCCTGGTGGCGGACTGCTTTACGGGGGTAGTTTTGCTGGGTCCTTGTCAGTGTCGGGGGTGGTTGGCATCACGGTGGCGCCATCCGTGATCCACGTTTTGCAACCCCGTTCTGTGATAACGGAAGCGGCCGACCGAACACGACGCGCGGATTCATGGCTTTTCGTTTCGGGCATAGCGAGGGTATCATAAATCCGCGCTGACACCGCCGTTCTGATTCAAGTTTTTCCTTTTCCATTACTCTCGCGTTTATAGAGAACAAGGGCTAAATTGATTGACGCGGCTGTTGGAATCGGGGGGTGGAAATGTCGCGCGCCGTTTTTCGCGCGACATTAAAATAGAAAACAACGAAGAGAGATTTATAATTGATGCTTTATGATAAAGAAACTTGAGATATATTCGAAAGAGCGGTACAAGGATTTTCGTACTCGAGGGGCAACAAGAGGTTGCCTTTCGTGATTCTTTTTATCCTCTGGCTCTTGAGATAAGAGCTTGGAAAAAGATACTGATAGCGCGGCACCATTTCATCGCTCTTTTATAAGAGGAAGTTCGTGACGTCGCTAGGGTTTTTTTTTTTCTTTGCACGAGATTAAGAACGAAGAATGTTTTTCTCAGATACTCTCGTGGTAAAAGCTTAAAAATCAAATATATTTCATGCGCGTTCTTCACACGAGACCCTTCCGAGATCAGAATCGAGGGCAAGTTGCGAAGTTGGATCGGAGGTCGTTAGAAGGGTGTCGTATCGATTTTCTTTTCTCTCTCTTACACACAACTCCCCTCTGACAATTACATTACATTCATTCTAGCAAAATGTCGTTCGTGCTTGTATCTCGATAGAAGGTTTTTCACCGTGCTTTGTTTCTCGCAATTAAATTTACATCTAAATGTGAGACAATTGTATACATTTTTAAAAAAACGTAAGGAATTATTTGTTTCCAAGGAATTTCTTTTAATCTCGTGTTTTTTTTTAATACATGAACAATAAGCGCCTTCTGTCAAGATAACGTTAATTTTATTTCCCGCGAGGAAATTATGGAAACGAGAATATTGGCTCGAATTAATTCAAGACAGAGCGGAGCCGCGGCACGCAATAACTGTAAGCAAGTGCCGTAAAATCAAAGAAACCTTGTCCACAAAGGTGGATTTTTCATATGTATGACTTACTTTTCCTTCTGTCACACTTTAACAGACTAATAAATTCTGAGCTTCGCTTTGTAGTTTGTTAGACGTAAAAAGATCTTTCTTGCCAAGGAAGGTAATATAAAGGGCAATAAAAAAAAAAAAAAAAAAAACCGTTATTCGATCAAGAAATAAGCGAAGCATTTTAATCTTTTTTTTATCACCGATATGTCGCACAGATATTTATTGCAAATATTAATCTGATATTTTTCGCGTATACAAACACGTATCATATCTCACAAATGGAAGTACATCATAATTAATTATAACATTTTTGATTTATTTATTATATTTGCTTCAATATCGATAAAAAAAAAGACTCGGAGTATTGTGATACCGCAACTGATAGCAATTTTACACAAAGGCGAAGTTTTCTTCGAATTTCCTGATAAAATGACAGTTTTTTTTTTTTTTTTTTTACCAAAAGAGAACAGACATATTTTATGTAGGATTTATCTTCTATAACGTTTCTATGACGTTTTTCTATGAGCACGTTCACGAAAATATAATCCGCGCCACACCGGCGAAGTTTCAGAGCTAATAATGCGCGAACTAATTTTGAAGTTGTCGAACATCGAACGGAAAAGAAACGTCTATTATAAACGGATGAACTTTTGAACTTGTGACCCGTTCCGGTTTGTGTCTCTTTCGACTGTAGAAAACAAAAGCGTATCTCTCGTTCTCTTTATCTTTGTCACTACGCAAATTATTCAGAATTTCCTCCGGTCACACACACACAGTGAGTCTCGCTCTATCTCAAAATATATATATATATATATATATCGTATCTGGTCAAACGGGTTTTCCGGAGCGCCGAACGAAACACTATGAAACATTCATGCGCTTTTCGAACTCCAATATGTTCGTCGGAGCCTACGCGAATCCCGAAAGGATCAGGAGCGTTATAAACGCACGCCTCTTTCCGATCAATTTAGTTTCCGAGCACGTACTGTTTTGGTGGTGGCGCGGTTTCTAATAAATTAGATGGCACGCACGGTGCCATTAAATAAAAAGAAATTGAGATGTAAACGGAAATACCAGATACGATCGCGAACATTTTATTGTGAAGACTCGAGATGAATTCTTTCAAATATATCTTTCATACATTTCGTAGTTTTTTATGTGTGTGTGAATTTATCTGTTGATCTTGTATCGTACATCTTGCAATATTCACGCATGCGATAGAAAATAGCTACTAAAACATAATAATGTGTTATACACAGAACATACCTGAATCGCACGTCTTTCTCCCGCGTCTTAGCGGAGCTTTCGCGTCCGCTTCCGTGGAATCGGCGGATTCGACGTGCTTGGGGGTTCTAGCGAGAGGTTCCAGTTGGATGTTCTCGCTGTCCTTTCCCGGACTTCCTTTCGGCATTTTATCGCCGCTTGTCGCTACTTCCACACTTGTTATATATATCCTATAACAGACTTTTTTTTTTTTTTTTTATTCAGCGAAGTTGGCTTTGTTACGGCGAAGCTTCCTCTTCTGTTTTCCGAACTGTTGTCGCGTGTTCGTCAAGTGACATGCTTCAAGGTCGCTGCTGATCGGCGGCACAAAATTGCCTCCGCTCGACATCGCACACTCAAGAAAGTAAATATAAGAGGTCTTCTGCCATCTTTGAGTAGTCCACCTGTTCTTTACGACAGTATCGATCGCTCTCTTTCTATACTAAAGATGTAATGCTCATGTCGAAAATTATATCGAGCTACGTACTCTCGTAGGTAGGTTCTAACACAGTTAAGGCTTTTTTTTTTTTTTTTTACGTCGCTTGTACCAGGCTTGTACCAGGCGGTTTTGTCAACAGCATTTCGCATTGGTCCCAATATATTGTGATATGTCGCGAATTGCCGGGACAAGCGATCGCGGATTTGTTCGATCTCGTATATAAAAGTGATATCGATGATTTATTGTGATGTAGCAAGTTTCTAAGCAAACACATCTGTGTCTTTCTTCGAGGTAGCGCACTACGATAGTACAAATGTTTCGTGAATACTTTCTTCGGGATCTCGCGCTACAGTAAGAAATGACGTGAAAAAGATCTAGTCTGGAGGTCAATATTCACACACACGGAGATTTTTTTCTATCACTCAAGCATACGTGTTGTGCGATCTGGAATGATTACAAGTGCCACAAGCGCGGCTTTGTGTCAATTATATTATTATATTTTTCAGTCTTTGTTTTTATTCCCGTAATAATTGTTTAAAAACAATGACAACTGATTTTGCAAAAAGCCGCAACGTGATTCCCATCCGACTTTCACGCCTGTAACATAATTGAAGTGCGAAATTCGCAATTATAATTTTCTCATTTGTAAGTGTAATATAGGTTGTTTATAGAGAGAAGCGCTCGTATAGAAGAAGAGTTATTTTTGTTAAGCTCCACTGTGTGGGGGATCAATACTTTCAGAATAAATATCTATTCGCAATAAGAACGAGCAAAAGCAGAGGGAAAAATATTAACGACGAGAGAGAGTTTGCAAAATAATTCGTTTGCTTGTAAAATAATATTTTTAAAAAATAACTATTACACGTGTATGCGCACGCGTGTCCGTTTTGATACTATATAATTTTAATTGTTACATAGAATAACAAATATAATTTTTTACAATATTTTTATTATTTACGGATTTTATGTTTTCTGCTGAAAAATCGCTGCAGTGTTTGTTTGTTTTGTTATGTAAAAACGTGCACCCCTGTTATCGCACAGTAATTTGCAGTTTCTTTTTTCCGAAGACTAAATCATGCATCTCGGTGAACGTGAACGTCGATGGTTAACGCTTCGCATGAACGTTGCAATTAATTTTAAAAAGGAGAATGTACTTGACACGATTATATATTCTCCGTGACTAACTTCTCGTTCAGGTGGTCTTCAACAATAACTTGAAAATTTCAAAACTTTTACGAAAGATATCGCGTGATATACGCGTATATTTTGCGCTGACAAGCGGATGCGTGTGTATGCAAATGTATAGAACGAGATTATCGGAGCTAGTATTCGAAATTGTCAGTTATTATCGTACATAGGAATATATCGTCTGTGTCGATATATACCTGTGCCAATCATTGCGATGATCAACGTCAGAATGACGATTGATGGATAAGCAATGATAATCGCTTTCATCCGGTTTATCAAATAGCTCAATAGTTTCAGCACACATTCCACCCCCTTATCACAAATATATTTGCAAATAATTACAATTAAATATCTACACACACGAGCATACGTTCATGGGAATATGATACGAATGAAAAAAAATTAACAATCCAATCAGAGCAATTGTTCGTACATCACAGAAAATTATTATAAATAATTACGTTACGTTGTTGTTATTTATCTCAAATACGTTTAATTGCATAAACTCGTCATTAAGCAATAACGCTGTCAATATTGAAAAATATACGCTTTATTTATCTATATGATTTATTGTTGTTCCTCTGTTGGAAAATTGTAGACAAGAATCCCAGGAATAATTATAATGTTGCCAGACGGGAATAAGCCGGTTTCGATTTTATTGGAGGCTGCAAACACACACAGCTACGTACATGCGTGTACATGCCCTTTCATAAAACCATGCAATATTCGAGCGCGGCGCACTTCGTAGCCGTTTATTTTATTCTTCTCTCCCGAACAAGAATATTTATGTGAAAATAACAAAAAAACCCGTTGATTGTTTCTCGTGCGTTTGCACGTGAATAATGAAAAAAATACTGTGTAAATTTCGTATATGTAAATTACTATGTGTCTAATAATGTAAAAATTATTTCAATTTTACTCTGCGATATTAATCAAGCAAATTTGCGCGAAACAAAAGTAAAGGAAACACTCACCTTTCTTCGCGTTCAATTGTTCATTTATGTGAATCATCAGTATCCGTGTTTCAAAATCCAAATTCTTCGATTGCGATTAATCGCGGATGATTATCTATCGCGTTGCTCTAATCAAGAACAAATTTATACATATCCCAAAAAAACGCGAATTTTTCTTTTTCACTCCCGATCCCACGCCGCTTGGCGTTTTCGCCCTTCCCGACAACGTTCGTACATTTTTAGCGCTCTTTCCTCGCGATGTACATACCATCAAACGCAATTTTGCGATTAAGCGCGCGATCGATGTATCGTCGGGGACTAAAGTTTCACCGCGACAACGGGAAAAGCCGGCACACGCTCAACATCAGCCCCCGGTGGCTGCGTCGCGCCGCGTTCAGCGCGCGCGTTCTGCCCCTCGTTGCATCGGCGACGCACCTGCATCCGACGTGCATCACCGCCGGTCGTTGTCGACGATGATCCGCAGCTGGCAAGCCGGAATTTTTCTCCTCCACGTTACGAGAGGGTGACGACGCAAACGGTCGCACAGTGGGAATGGCACTGAGTGGAAACGCTTTGGAGGACCGAGCGTGGCTGAATTTCCGGACGCAGGGAGGCGCGCCGGTCAGGATCAGCCACAGGTTGCGCCCGTCTCGTTCACGCAGGGCGGGCGGGTATCTCGGCTGATCGTGTATGGGGTAGCGACGGTGATGGTGGCGGTGGCGGTAGCGGTGGCGGCAGCGGCAGCGGCGGCGGCGACGGTGGCGGTGGCAGCGTCGGCGTATGCACACGAACAAGGGAGAGAGTCGGCGAGAAAGAGGGAGAGAAACGGGAGAAATCGATTTACTTAACATCTCGGGAACTCTTTGGCCCTTCTGTGCTTTCGCTCGCCGGCGATCTCGATATCACGCGCCATCATCGGCCGAACACTCTTGTATCTTCCAGAATGACTGTAAGCTGGACCGCGTCCAAAGGATGCGAGCTTTTTGAACGCCATAAAAATCGCTCACGAACTTTTAACGCCCCGTTGTCAGTGTGTGTATCGCGCAATAAAAACACAAATAATCATTACTATTATTTGTTCCGTCTCGAACGAAAAGATTGAAAAATATATTTTTCAAAAATATTTTAAAAAATATATTAAAAGTTACATAGAATATTTTTTTGTTGAAATCTACAGTAGTTTCGTGTATATTATTATTACATAGTTTTATGTTTTTATTTGAGACGATGTAACTTTGCGTAGGAACGTGCACAGCCGGTCATGTCGTATACATTTTAAGACCTCACCGGAGATATCGTAAAAATAAAATATTTAGCCGTCTAGATATAGAGGAGTTTTATATGACTTCTTCTGATGTGTGTGTGTGTGTGTGTACAATTTTTTCTATATCACATATACATATATAGCGCGCTATTATTAAAGATAGTAGGAGTAAACACTTTTTTGCGCATCTCTGCAAAAATATTGGTTTTAAAAATAGAGGTAAGTAATATATTAAGTAGTACATATCTATAGGATAATAAAATTTATATTTAAGTAATTTTTAGATTCATGATTAAGTATTTTCTAAAGTGATGCTCTTCGACTTTGAGGAAAGTCTTCCGGTTAAAGAGTCTGGTTTGATTTCAGCACTGTGTTGCTTGTAAGATATGTTATCAGATAATAAGTATATGAGTATATGCGATAAGTGCGCGCGATAACAATTATCTCATATAGAAGTTACTGTCTTTCATACAGTTTTCTTTGTGCGACAAATCCCAATAAGTCGCGCGTTGACCCTTACGAAAGTATTCGAGTACAGCATTAATAATTCAAGACAAGATGCATGGCGTAAGTGATGTTTTGATAATGTGTTGCTTGTCTTAATTTCATGTTACGCGCATTTATTCCCAATTCGCGGGGATTGATCATCATTACAATTGATCGCCGCGTCTCGTAGATGTCATTTCATGGCGGCTTCACGGAAACCATTTTATTTGACGCCTGGCGCATAAATAACGCGGTAGGACTGATCGGTTCGATGATCGGCATCATTCTCCTGACCGCATTGTACGAGGGATTGAAGTCGTATCGGTGAGTAAATTACTTACGCGCGCGTGTTTAAAAGAGATTGCGAGCAATCACAGTTTGTATTTTGCAGCGAGTATCTGTTCGCGCGCGCGACGTTCATAAGGAAGAACCGGCAAAAGAAATCGAGAAAGTACGTGTCTCTCAATGATGTTGTTGTGTGTGTGTTTTTTTTTTGTCACATTTTATTACATAACATTTGTTGTTTCAGTCAATTGTTGTTCTCTGGAGTGCATTTTTACCAAACGCTCTTGCACGTGATCCAGATAGTTTTCGGCTATTTTCTTATGTTTATTTTCATGTCATATAATTATTGGCTCTGCATCGCTATTGGAGTCGGAACAGGTCTCGGATACTGGTTGTTCGCGTGGGAAAAAACTAACAACAATTACACGGATTGTTGTTCGTAAAAATATATTTGTAAATAATCTAAAGTTTTAATATTTTAGTAACAAGCATCGTAATTAAGATATATATTCTTTTTTACAAAAATTAAAAAAAAAAAAATAATATATTGCGAAATATATTGTGATATTTCTATATACACACAAAGTTTATAGTTTTTGCAATTATCAATAGTTTTATTTATTCAATACAAGCAGTGTGTCTTACGCCGAAATATATTTGGCGCAACGTTTTTCGTCAAATAAAACAATATTTATACAATGTTACGTGTATACTTTGACATATACAATAAAGTTTCAAAACTTGTTGTTAATGTAAGATACATGCGTCAATATATAAGATTCAAGTCTTAATCGAGAACTGTCAGTTATCTAATCTAATCACTTTCTTTCTGTGTATATGGCACGTATATTTTATAAATTTCTGTCAGAGACACGAGACGTCAGTCGCTGTTGAATATTTCGCATATTACCGACAAACAGTTACACGATGGCGGACAATCGGAGCAGCGCAGCAATTTATAACTGCTCGGAATCCGATATACAATTTGGTTCGGTCCATCAAATTATTTTCGGTTGGGACAGATTCAACTTCATAATGTGGCTCATACTGTTATCGTTCTTCTGCATTTGGTGTGTAGCGTTTTTTTGCAGCTACACATTGGAGTTGGAAGGAAATCACGAAAAACATCCTCATCATTGATAAAAAAAAAAACGTATCACAAAACGAGATTCGATTATTGCAAAAACTGGAAGACAAATGTGAGTACCGCGTACAACTCTCTGATGCTTAATGATAAATTTGAACAAAATGATTAATAAAAAATTGTAATAATTAATTAATAATTTTTTATATAAATGTTTTATAGATAACTGACTGGATGGTGTGTTCGATTTCAATTATTTGGGAGGAAATTAATGTGTCAAAAAGTAGATTATTATTATAGATAAATTTACAATTATTATAAAGTTACAATAAAAAAATGGCAGAATATTTAATGTCAATTAGCATATATAGAGTTTCTTTGTACGTTAATTAGTAATTCTTTATTTTTTAATAATTTTTAAAACCATCTTTAAAACATTTCAAATTTCTATCATATTTGCATTGGAATGATCAATAATACATGTTGTTCAAATGTATAAAAAAAATGTATAAAAAAAACATTTAAACTTGTAATATTTCTGACGAGGCGTTCGATGCACAAAAAACGTTCGTCATTTCGTAATAAAAATTAATCTTATTAGGATCACGATATTGACAAAAAAAGACCCACGTCTTAGATAACGAGTTACAACATACGGCTATGGTATCTATAAACTTACAAAATGATAAGAAATATTTGTCAGGACAAAGTTCGTTTTATAAGATTGTCTGCAATTTTTCTCGTTCCTCTTGTAGAAACATGTCATTTAACGATCCATCTATTTTTTCTGTCTCATTCATATCTGTTTTTTATTCAAAAGTGCCAAGAATTGCATTTGGGAGTTGCAAATCCCCGGAGGAATACCGGTGGCTTGCGCTCGACCTATCTGAGACGCACGTACGGGAAATGGATGAAAACACGTTTGATACGGGGAAAAAATACGATGTCTCGGAATGAAGTAATTTACGAGTAATTTAAATTCTGTTGAAGATACAATTTTTCAAATTTAATGTTTCTTTTTTTTTTTTTTTTGAGAATGAACGGCAGGAAAATAATTGTTTGAAGTGTGTTTCTCTCGATTATGGGAAGCGGATTTAACGCGGATGTAACATGGATTTAACTGGATGATGCGTGCGGCAGAACGCTCTCTTCTGAGAGCGAACGAATGCGCGAGTGTCACGCTGTGCGATTTACATATATATCTACCAAGACGAATAGTCACGACCGACTGTGTCAGCGTTGTTGACAGAATGATAGAAGACAACGTTTTCTGAATATACATTCGAAGCCCTCGCGACCCGTTAATCTCGTTTATCGCGCAACATCAGTCGCGTTGCGAAGCTTCTCACCGCAAAACGCGAAGGACGCCGGCGGCACTTCCGGCGATCGATTCCTAAGGAACTTACGCTTTTTTTATTGTATCTTCGAGAAAGCGAAGTATATATTCCGGAGCGGTTCAAATGTTAATGCGCGTGCTTTTGTGTGTCGGAGACACAACACACGTTTTTCTTTTTTTCTTTCTTTCTTTCTTTCTTTTCCGTGACACACCCTCACTTTTCCTCGCACAGCCATCACACAGTCTTGAAACGGTCTTTGTGTGCATTTAAGCCTTTTGAACCCAATAATCCATGCAGATTGCAGCTCAGCGGCTCGGGGGATTCTTCTTTTTTTTTTTTTTTTTTTTCATTGCGACTTGCATGCTGTTTCCGTCCAGTTCGCTTTCTCTCCTGACTTTTTGCAACGTTCTCATTTCGCCAGCAATGATGGAAGAAGATGAGATAGTGTGTGTGAGCGCGGACCGTCATTCGCGTGTGTTCGATCTTCCGACGCGCGTGTCACGTCGGATGATCGACAGCCGTTTACCAATAAAATTAATTCCTAACCGGCGATGCGAAGGGTTCGAAGGGTTCGCGTGTGCGTTTCGGCTATTCAATTAAAACGTTTCAGCGAATAATGGATATCGTTGTTCCGCGAATTACGAGTAGTGCTCCAATGTTGTAGTTTTTTTTTTTTTTTTTGTAACAATATCACTGACACGATCTCGATGTAAAACGCGCATAAATCGTTTTGCGATCTCGTTTTGCGCGTATAAATATATATGCAAGATATCTCGTGCGACTGCGATAGTTTTTATTTTTTTTTTTCTAAATGCGCGACATACTCATAAGAAATAATACACACGAGAATAATAATATGAAAAAGAAACTCCGCGTAAAACAGCGGGACGTCATTGCAGGATCGAATATTTATATATGGAAGCGATTATTCAACTAATCCCTAAGTAGGGACCTATAAGTAGACGACCGGTTGGATAGCGGATGTTATCGCTACAATGTAACGCAACAGCTTGATATAAAATGTCAGAAAGGAAAAGAAAAATTAATACACGCTCGATTTGTATATAGACAAAAAAGCACTTGTGACGAAAGCTTTTTACTGAACGTTCAATTTATGAAAAAAAAAAAAAAGAATTATCGTCCAGATGAATAATCACGGAAGAACCGTCGTCGTCGAATATTCAGACGCAGTTTTCGCACGCACGTGTGTGTGCGAAACGACTGATCGATACTCGGGTCGCCAGCTGGTAAGCTGTACATTTCTCCTTTACGCATCAACCCCTCGGATAGTTCGCGCCCTTCTCTATCCGCCCTTTTAGTTGAGAGCTAACTCCGTTTAATACGGTAGGTCCGTACAAAATACCCCCACTTTGTTACTTCAGTTAGGTAACTTGTAGCATGTATACACATACACAAATGTATATGCGTAACATATATTTGTTCAACTGGAGAGAAAGAGAGAGAGAGAGAGAGAGAGAGAGAGAGAGAGGAAAAGATACGAGCATCTACTAGTTTCTTGTCAAAATAAGACAAGCTCGAGCTTGTGACAAGAGAATTTGCAGTACAGTTCTAAAACCATGTATATTGTTTATGCACGGTTTTTATATTGTTTGTTAATATCCTCTTTCGTGTTTTTTTATTTCGGTGCAACTTTCCGAATAATATTTTTCAATATCGATCTCGCGCATGTACTGATTCTTTTTTTATCTGATATATATTAACACGACAAGAGATCTCGCTACACAAAACATTGTAATTATTGTAAAACATAAAAAAATGAAGAATAAATTACGACACATTCGGGTGAGGTATTCACAAGGAGTGAAGGAAGAAGAGGAGGAAACTCTCTCGCGCCCCGCGGCAGAGATTCAGCGAACGGATATCAACGAACGGTAAGCGCTGCTTTGAAGTTCCGACACGTGTGTGCACAAAATCGAGTATGTATAAAAAAAAAACCGAGCTTTCAAAATTGGCCGGCGTCCAATGTGGTCTACTCCACATGTTGCACGTTGTAAAATATGAAAATGCGAGAAGGATCCCGGAAGCTGGGCGTGTTACGGATGTGTATATACATATGCATGTGTCGCAAGTAAAACACGCTGGTGTTACACTTGCGACAAAATGTGCAGAAGCAATCTGAGAGAGACGGGATCGATTGGCAATTTTTTTCGATATCGTCGTGCGAATAAGCAAAACGTGAAACAATTCCGTATACGTACCGTCAACACTTTAGGGAACTATAATTCTTCGCGGGAAGGAAAGAAACAGCCGGGGAACGCAGTGAGTTTGCGTCAACTTTGATAGATGGCAACTCGATCTTCACTTTCGCGCGTGTATTTTGGAGAAGGTTTTTTTCCTCACGTGTATGTGCACGTCGATAAAAGCCGCACGATTTTTTGAAATTGCGTTACGATAATGAATGCGCAGATTCGTATCGGGGGCCTTCGTGGAAGTATGACAATCATAAAACTCTCTGTGTACACGAATTTCTTTGTACGATTACACGATACCGCTCGATGTTTTTTGAAAAGTTGGATACGTATATATATATCGCAAATATAACACGTAACGGCTAATCGAACGGAATAAAAAAAATTAAAATAATAATAATAACAAGCGATAATAAAAAAAAAAAAAAAAAAAAAAAAAGATAATTAATCACGCGGTCGCTCCGCAATGAGGTCATCGCGAGAAGATGGGAAGTCTTATTTCGTGCGTGGTTTTTTTTTGTTATACACGTATATAAAAGTTTTTCGTCATAAACAGATGCTAATAAATTCACAAGTAACGCCACGGAGACCGCGACGCTGCGTGGCCCGACATGCGAAATTCATTTAAATAACAATTGCCGGCAGCCGAGCGCCATTTTACCAAACGTAAAAATAAAAAAAAAGTTCGCGGCGTTATGTATATAAATATAGGATGAGATGTCGGGCATGCGCGTTAAAAAACACTTATTCCGCAGATACGATCGGACGTCATATTTTGCGGCAAGCACGCTCGGAATCTGATAAAAAACAAGTGCGCAAGTTTAACGAACACTTAAACGCAACCGTCTTTTATATTCAAACGTTAATCCCTTCCGCGTCAATGTGTGTAATGTCTTATCGCGCCGAGAGATCTAATCGAGAGAGAGTTACACAAAATTGTTACTCATTTCAAACACATTCGAATTTCATAAAGCTCAGATTCAGAGGAGATACAAATTACATTGTGCGATCTTATAAAAGAATGTACGCGACGTGAAAATATTTTTTTTTGTTTTTTTTTCATTAAATACATAATTTGTTGTATCGCCGAAAAGAAGCTTCGACATAAAACCTCGCGCGACGTCAAAAAATGTCAGGGAGGACGTGGTTTCTCGCAATATTAATGCGCGCGAGGAAACGGTTCTGCGCGCTCTTCCACATCTTCGTGCGCAATGAAAAAATCAGGAAACGTGCAAGGTCTTTTCAATCTAAGAAGATAAGTTCAAAGGTAGGGAGCGGCGGTTTTTCTTCCGCGATGTTTCTCTCGCGCAAAATTTAATCGAATCTCGATCGGAAGCGATTTTCCTTCCCCCCGATAAATCGTTGCGTAGCTTCTCCGGGTCGGTCTCGCGCGACCTTGGCCTCCGTCGGTCGACGTATAAAGCGAGACACATAAGGGCAGGTAATGCCGGACACGCGATCCTACATGTTGTACGCGGGAGAGCTGTGCAAGGAAATCGCTGCGACACACAACACCCCCTGCCCCGTCGACGCTCGTTCCGCGTTCCCGTTTCGAACGATCGCTCCGTGAATTCATACTCACGCCTTGGGCGGCAATTTGCACTTACAAATCGCGACTGACTCTTAAATTTCTCAGCGCGCGCTGACGTCTTTCTCCGCGATGGCGATTTTCGTCACGGGCAAACTGGGAGAGAGAGAGAGAGAGAGAGAAAAAGCCTAGAGCGCGATATCAGACACGAACCCTTCGTCCTAGATCGTGGAATTGCAGCGGGGAAAATTACTCGCGCGACGGGCCGCAGTATCAGATTTCTCTGGTCGTTTATTACTTTCTTTGTTGCGGCAGCGATGCTTATGCGCAAGGGAAGGTTACGTTTGAAAAACTGTGAAAAACGCGAGCTCATTAGCCTTTTCGCCAATTTTGTTGTGTGTCGCAGTGCTATTTTTCTTTTTTTTTTTTTGTTTTTTTTTTTACTATATAGAAAGAAAGAAGAATAAGCACAAGCACTGCGAGATTGCGACGGTCACGCCTTTTTACTGTTTCCCTGCATCAGATCGCGAGCGAGATAAAGTATATATTGTAATTGCGTTGTTAATTATAAGTTCGCGCGCGCTGATTGTGTTTCGGAATCATATTACTAAAATTCCGTTACACGTTATTGAGAAAAAATAAATTTATTCTTGCGCGCGACGCGATAAATTACTTCCTCTCGAGAATATGTAACTCTCTGATTGCATTTACACGTCAAGCTATATTCCGATCGTGAATACGATCGTTCGAATTGCAACGCGAGAAGAGAGGGAAAGGAAAGGGGGGAGCAATCGAAAAGTGCAAGAAGACGAATTCGACAGGCTAATCGCGATCGTGAAATTTCGTGTCGGCGATCTTCGCGGTATCGTCATTTCCTATCCGCGTGAGCGGTGCTCTGACCCATTTCACGAAGAAAGAAGCCGGGTCGAGCTTCTCTATCGGCTGTCCATCTGGTTGGCGTGTGACCTTTCGCATCTCCCCTTTTCGAATACCCGCCAGTATTCGTACACGTGCGAATAACGGACCTAACCCGCGGCGAGCATTTTGACCGATAGGAAGAAGATATCGAATGTTACGAACGCGATATCCATATCGGATATCAAATTACCGCGAGCGAAATTGTTAAATTAATTGCCTGTGAGTTGTCATTACCCCCCCAGGCTGGGTTGTTCTCCGGATTCTATATTCAGCGCGATAAGAAACGCCGAGAAGTCAAGAAACTTATGTTTCTGAGACTTTTGGACTATAGAATGTTTTTCAAAGCCACATATCGGAACAAGAAAAGCTGTCATTAGCAACGACGCGAACTCCCGGTCTTTTTTTTTTTTTTACCTTCCGTCCGAGGCCTTTTGACGGGTAGAATCGTTAATAATTTTGCAAACAATGTGTGTCATTGCAAATGAGTTTTCGAACACACGTTGTCGAGATACTCGGAATGTTCGCAACCACAAATGACGGCGCTGAATGGGTGAATGAATTGCTTGGAGTGTCACGTACGAAGAAAGCAACGACGGAATGAGAAACGAATAGTGTAAGGCTCTGTATTGTGGCCAACCCGATAATTTTGTTTGATGACGCGTGATGAGGTTTATGAATTGAGGTTGAGATCGGAGCTTTCAGATTGGCTGAATTACACGTGAATCGCGCGTTTGACGACTATCTTAACGCGCGTTCGGAAGGAAATGGGGGAAAAAAAAAGTGTGTTATTAACTTCATTTATTTTGAATGCGACGCTAATGAAGACAGATTAATTTTATTAATTAACGATACGTTTGTTATTTCGGATCGCGCGAATTACCACGAGCGATTTTGAAGCATTTCGCTTTCGGATTAGCGAGAATCGGCGAAAATTGTTTTTTTTTTTTTCAAGCTCGTCTCATAATAATCTTGATAGTTTTTTAATCGAGTCTACGTCTGATAAGAGCGTCGGGTCGATTGTGAGAAGGATACCCTCTACGTGAGCAACAACGCCTTGACCCCTCTCTCTCTCTTCGCCCTTCGTTATGACGTCAACAAGCCTTGGAATCCTGGACGACGACGTCATCGTCAAAGCTAAGAGCATTGCTCGCTCGGTAGAAACGGTCTTAATGAGTGGTAACGGTCGAAATAAGCGAGCGCACGCGCGGCTCGCGTGTCGTTTATTTCGTCCCCTTATTACGGCGAGCGACCTTAAGTACGCAGTTGTTCTTTAATCAATCTCCCAGCGCCGCGCCGCGTCAGGAAATGGCGGTATTTAAATCACACGCCGCCCGCTCTTGTACAGACCTCATTTCATCTGTTCGGGGTTTATTACACGTGAATGCACTAATCATGTTCTGTGCCACAACCGCAATTGGTAATGGACTTGGCTAGCCACGAATTACCGCGATTTGATTAGCGGTCTAGAAAAATATCGTCGAGCGCAAAATGCGTCGATCGATAGCGCGAGAATGATGTTCGCTACGTGGTGGTTGTACTTCGTATGGTGTTTTTTTTTTTTTATTCATTTAAATTTTTATTTTTCACACATATGTATTATTCGCAAACCAATTTAGCAAACCAGAGAGTTTGTTTTGGAGGCTCGACGAACTTGTTATAAATTTTCGAACAGTACGTTATATGCAGTCGATTAAGTGTTACAGAATTTATTTATTTATTGTTTTTCGATACAAAATGTAAAATTTTTTTACAACTCATACGTCACAAATATACAACAAACCAGCAATAATTTACAAGAAAAATACGCAAAAAAAAATTATCGAGAGCAATCCCGTGGACGCCACGTTCGTTACGCTACCTATAAAAAAAAGCAAAAACAATTACAATTTTTACAACTCTAACAAAACAGGCGAGTGAACGAATAGGAACGGCTTCTCAAAATTTTATCTCTCGGTGGACGAGAAAAATATTTCCGTCGTTGCCGATTTTTACGCGCGATAACAAAAATCTTGGCGGCAGTAAACTTATTTCTTCGCGCGGGGAACGGGAGTGGGAAAGAGGGGCAATCGTCACTGTTCGACAGAAAGTACCAACGCGCGTTGGTTTTTCCGCGAACAACGATTCGAAAGTTCCCGATGGGCCGTGTTGTTGCACGTGCGCCCTATCGCGACTTGTAATCGCAAAAATTGCAACACAAATCTCGAACTCGGCATGCGAATTGGCGACTCGTAATTGCGGGAACATTATTTCTTTCTCGCACACCAGAAAGAAGTTTTATGCGCGCTTTAAAAAAAAAAAAAAAAAAAAAAAGTTACCGCTAAAATATAGGCCTGTATGGGCGGAAGTACAACGCGCGACGCGAAATTTCTTTCGAAACACCTGCCGCGCGAATCAAGGCTAACTCACCATTTATATTTTGTTCCGAGATCTCGTCATTTCTCGCGCAAATATTGCGAACGCTATTCGGATCCTTGTGTTCCACGTAATCCCAATCGCACGAACACTTCCCGTTTCTGCAGATTATTCTTTCGTCGTCGGAGTTCTGATAACACTCGCCGAGATTCTCGCAAGTTTCGCCGAGAACTGTGGGAACAAAGACGCGAACGTTTTTTTTTTATTTTATTTTTTTTTGAGATAAGTCGCGCGAAACAACACTTGAACACTTTATTTTGGTGTGTCTTATAAGTTACTTCGTCTTACATCTTTTCTTACGACACTTTTCGAAACTGTAGTGGTCTTCTTCGCTGCAGGTGCAAACTTTGTTTCCCGCGTCGTTTGGCTCGCTGGTCCCGCAAATCGCGCCCGTTACATTGGCGGAACATTGAACATCCACTGAACAAGGCTCGCCAAACGATAAGACTAAAAAAACACGGTAAGCTTAGATACAACTTCAAAATTTTGTATGTTGTTTGAAGAACGACGACATTATTGTAGATAAGATAAAATCGATGATAATAAAAATTAACACAGCTGAGATAAATGCAAACGCTTACTTGGCATGCACGAGTCGACAGCCGTAGCCACATAGTCCGATATACAAGAGCACACTTCCGCAATACACACGGAATTCCGCACCGTGCAGTTCTCGTTAGTCTCGCAATTGGCATTGATACCTAAAACGTGTAATAAGTAAAACAATACTAATAATATTAAAATGTCAAAATTAATAAAAACGAAGCTCGTAATATCTAAATAAATAAATCACAATAATAAAATTAATATATAACAGGCCAAATTAACGTGTGTGATAAGTACATCGTAACATAAGCTTTACGTTTCGAATTGTTAAATTTTACATGTGCAACAAAATTGGGTTTTTATTCTCAAGGTCTTGAAATTCCCCATAGTTTGTCTTATAAGAAAACTATATAAGAAACAAACACATTCTCGCAATTAATAAAATACGTTACCTTTCTCACATCGTCCTTCTAGTTCGTAGTCATTGACGTTGCAAGTACATTTGTTATTACTGCAAACGGAATTCGACGTTGATTTGCAGTTGTCGTCTTCTTCGCAATATTCTCCGATTTCTGAAGTTTGATCCGAACAATTTTGTCGAATGTTATTACAACGAACGATTGACAACGAGATCGACCATTTGCCTTATCGCGTAACGAGTGATTACTCAGATTACTGGATTCAAAAATTAAAACTCCCGAGTATGACTCGTGGCATATTTTCCGAATCAAATGTGACAAACGTTGATTACGAACGTTGTGAGTACAAAAAACGTTTATCCTAACGTTTGAAAATGCGATAGGACAAATGATTAACTCTGAAATGTCCGATAATTTTGACTTTCTTAGAGTCTCGTGTTATTGTCGCTGTTGTCTCGTAACAAAGAAAATTTTTTTTTTTTTATCAAACACGGATGAGTTGAAACCGTATTTTTAATTTCTAAAAAATGTAAAAAACAACATATAGTTGTTGTTTGTCACTTTGTTTTATCAGTATTGTAGTGGAGAGACCTATATATATATATATATATGACAAGTGTCAAGATTGTCTCTCAGTCAAACGATTGTCGATGCGTGCAGCTACGTCCGTTTAAATTGATTTTTGATATCGAGTTTATCTGATCCACATATTCAGTTTCTGTGAACAACCATGCAGTACTAATTTGGGAGTCTACTTCCTATCTTTATTTTAATCCAGGTACGATTATAACAAATTCATTTGCGAACCTCGTATTTCCATCGATCTTTGCAAAAGGACGTTAACGAATTTTTGTAATTCATTTTTTGTAATTTTATATATGCAGTCACTGAAGAAGATCCTGATATCGAAACGTTTGACATTAAACACCGAACACAAACTCATTTAAACGCGAACATCCTGTTTGCGACTCGTATTGAACCTCTTTTCATTTATTAAATTTCATTTATTAAATTTTTACTTTTAAGTATTTTTCTAGAAGAGAGAATTGCAAAAGATATTTCTGTTTCCGAACACAAAAGGCGACAACACGAAGACCCTAAAAAAAAAAAAAAAAAATCGAAGTGATTTCATCAGATCTTTTAGCACCAATAAAATTGTGACTAACCGGCCGGATCGCTTATGCAAATTGTTTTGTTCCCGTTTATTTTCGTGCCCTCAAAACAGTCGCATGTATTATTGCAGACCAGTTGGCCCTTAAGATCGTTCACGTGACAATCGTGTTCGCTCTCGCAGGTTTCGTGAACTCCTTTATTTCTCCAGCAAAACAGTTCGCTCTCCACATAGTGAGAAACTCTCTCGTCGCACACGCATTTATTATTACCGCACACAGCGTCCGGGCCAAAGACATAGCATTGCTCGTCGTGCTGGCATTCTCCCTCGTATTCTCTGGTCACTGAATTAAACATGTTATGCGAAATCTTCAAACATTCTAATGTAACAGAACGTTCAAAACTCGACGATTACACATGCAATCGCTGTTTTTTTTTTTTTTTTTTTTGTACTTCACATTTACGAGAGACTATCGAAAAGTGTATATCGACATTTAAATTAAAGACGCGTTTTAAAACGTTTACTCACCGTTAAGACATTCGCGATTATTTTTGAGCGCAACAAAACCGTTCATGCAAGTCCATCGTTTTCGACAAACAGAATAATTTATGTACGGATTTAAGATGTCGTCGTTGTCGCAAGGTTCTCCCAGTTCTATCGACAGAAAAATCATTTTTTTATCACATTGCCATCCGCCATGTAAATTTATTTTACGTCCCGTTGACATTACCCGGAACACATTTGGCGCTCGTGTTAAATGCGAAATGCGCGCGTTCACAACGGCATGTCCCAAAAGGATCGCATATGGCGTTTCCCAGATCACCGCAGTCCTCGTTAATTACACAACTGCTGCCCACTCGAATTTCTATAACGTAAAACATATACTCGCACCAACAATCTGTTCAACGAATCGTCGATGTTGTTTTTTTGTTTTTATTACTTGTACGCAATCGTTAATTGTAATAATTTATATACCAACCTGTGTTCTTGTAATTGTTGACAAACAATTGGATATCGTGATTTTCCATATACGTAGATTCGTTGCGAGTTTGAATTTTTTCGCACTCGAAGTTGTCATTGCACGTCGCGTTAGCGAAGAAACAATCGATGTCTATTACGCACTTGTCGCCGACACCTATATGCAACATCGTTATATTTTGTAATATTTTGTGACAATTTAGTATTAAGTTGCGAACGCTGATAGATTTATGATTGTTAATAAACAATGTTTCCTTACTTTCCGCTTTGCGCCGACAGGTGCGATATTCGCGTTGATAAAACCCAGGACTGCATTTGCAAACCTTTCGTTCGGCGGAGATTTTCTCGCAAGTGCTCGCTTCAAAGTCAGCGTTCACGTAACAGTCGATGTCTTGTTCGCACTCCTCGAATAGACCTGTATGTATCAAATCACGATAATGATATTATTATTTTTAAACTCCAAAACAGACTGATTGATGCAATGCTGCAAAGTTCATCGTAAATCTTTATAATATAACTGACGAGAATCAGCTGATGATTCATCATCAATTCTTTCCCGGTAAAAATATAGAAGAAACAAACAATATAACGTACCGACGTATCGATTACATCTTCCGTGCATGTAATAGTAACCGGGACCGCAAACGCAACGTTTCTGATTTCCGCTCTTATTTTCCGGAATCGATTCGTCTTCGATTCCGTTTACGTCTTCGCATCTGCCACCGTTCGACAGATAAGCTGAGCACTGAACCGTCTCTTCGCAAAAATCATAATAATCCGTAGCAACTGTAAAAATATAACAGTAAGAAAATATAACAGAAAGATTGTGTGAGAATCTCTTAACAATGACAATATTTCTGTTTATACAAAATTAATTGACGATCGAAATTTTCAAGAAATAAGTTTGAAAACAAATGTTACTTCTGAGACAGGTTGTCATATCGGCGTTCATGACGTATCCGCGTGCACATTGACAGAAACGATCGACACACGTAGCGTTCATCGCTGTGCAATCATCATTATTGTTGCATTCCCACCGATTAAACCATTTTACGCCGTTTGTTCTCGTCAAAATATCAAGATTGAATGTGAACACTGTAACAGTTTTATTAAGAGAAACACTTATTTCGCACATGTAACAGAAACAATTATTTAATATTGCAATACTTTTTTTTATATAACAGTAAAGTTAATTAAAACGCAAGTTTTTAATTTATATTTCAAGTTCTCAAAAAAAAATTCTTATATATAATCTTACCATTGTGGACGAAAAACTGTAAATACAACAGAATGCTCACAAATTGTCGAAGTTGCTTCATCTTCGGAACTTTCAACTTTGGAACTTTTGCTTCAGAATACGTCTGTCACAATGAAGAGATAATAATCGACCGAGATTCTTTTATCAAATAAACAGTGCCGGTTCTAAATAAAGAGCAAAACGACGTTTAACTTTATATATTTATGTGTTTGAGTATTGTATTATTACATACTATTTAAAAGATTTCAGTTGTTTTATTTTATATTTTATTTTTATATATAAATTAATTTAATTCTTAATAACATGGCAAATGTGGTATTTTGCTTTTATATAGTAATATAAATATAGCTTATGTATGTGTACATACACACCACATATTTAATGTTACATTAAATATGATAAGTATAATTTTTCTAAAAATTATTTACTTGGGTTTTGTTTATTCGCGAATTGCGTAAAAATTTTACACAGGCTCTTCGAATTGTGTGACCGGCACTGCGTTATCATTTGGATTTAAACACCTGATCTGATATCGAAAAGAGATAATTTGTTTTTTTTTTTTATATAGATATGTACAAAGTGATATAAAATAAGTGATCAAACTTTTGATCTTTGTAATCACAAGGCGGAAATATGGAATATGAGATACACAGAACAAAAATATTTTTAATAGAAAAATATATTTTCTAATTTAGTAATTAAGAGAAGCACAAACAAACATATACGGTTTGTTTCATTGATCAGATGTTGCGGTGTACTTTGTGCTATTGATTTTTACTTTTGATTTGTTTGTTTGTTTTTTTTTTTTTTTTTTTTTACATCTGATTCGCAAGCAATTTTATACATGTTTCAAAAAGTGACACAGTAGAATTTATACACGTGTTTAAATTTTTCTATATCTGTAACGACAAGCATATTTTGAGCTTAAACGAATAACAGAGATAATTGGTGAGTTTGTGCGTAGGCGAGCATGTAATCATTGGTGCGATTGACCTGAGAAAGATAAGACATGACCTGAAGTATACTATCTTCTCAGGCAGCGTCTCCTAAAGCTATAGAGGAGGGGGAATAGCGCTGTCATCTCGATCTCTCACTAAGAATGTTATATATATTTGACCAGTTCAAGATTAATTCTTTCTTGAGTCACTGGCTCATTTCAACGAAGCGCTCAGTTAACGATCAATCGTTCAACATGAAGCACATTTGGAAGTCTAAAGAGAGTGAGCACATCAACTTTTTTTTTTTTTACATCAAATATAAACAAAATATTAATTTTCTCATTATTTATTAAAAAATAATAATATAATAATTTTCTTTGTATTATTCTTTAGTAGAATATCGCTCGAACTATGTAAATTCAAAAGCATCTTTGTTATATTTGTCAGCAATTATTGCACACTGTTTGTTTCTTAAATTTGCTTTGTATATTTTTTCTAACGTACGTAGATTTTGTATTTTTTGTTTGACATATTAAATACAGAATTTGTTGTTTTATTGAATTAATAAATTGTTCAAATAAAACTTTGAAAATCTTATTCAGAGAAAGAAGCAGATGTGGAGGAAGGACTGTGCGAAAACGAGAACGTAAAGCGAGAATATGTAATACAAGTCGTACGTGAAACGAAACACAAATGGTGGTGCGCGGTGGCGATATACGTGCTAGTGATGGTTATTTTCGGACTGAGTTTTCACATACTTCGTACTTATAGTTCTTCGGAAACTATGAGTGTTATTTATCAGAGAGATTTGCCAATGTCCGAATTACAGTCTGAATCTCAGAAATCAAATCCGAGTAACGAAGCGCTCGAAACATCTACCGAATCTCTTACCGTCAGTGAATTAAATTTGCTAGAGAATAAAAATGATTTTTCGCCGGAAACGCTCGTAAAATTGATCCCGCGGAGTTCCAGTGAGATGGAAAGTGACAATACAGTGCGAAAAGTCTTCGACCCGTTATTGGTACCGGAGTTGGATGATTCGGTGTATCAAAAATTAAATAAAATCCCGATGGAAGATTTAACTTCAGTATATAAACTATTTTCGGAATTGGAAAATGATTTAAAAGAGAACGTATTCTTTCCTTTATTAAGTAATAAAATGACAGACAAAGAAATTCACAGTTTGACGAAAAATGATGACAATACGATGCCAAATTTAAATTATTTAGTACTTAAATCATTTTCAAAATTTCAAACTAATTTGAACAAATTATTTCCCTTATTAAATGTCGATAAAATGGCGGACGCGGATGTGCACGGTTTGACAAAAAGTGACGATATAATGCCAAAAGATTTAACTTCAGAAGTTAAACCATTTTCGGTATTCGAAAACGATTCAAACGAGGACGAATTGTTTCCTTTGAATACGATGCCAGCAGATGATGTCAAGGACTTGAAGACAGTATCATCTTCGGAAGATCCGAAGGTCGATGAAACTCACGACAAAAAACCATCCGCGGAATCGGAAGTTGTCAATTGTCCACCTGATAAATCCGACGAGTCGTCTACTGAGGTTTCTTCTTCCGAATCAGCTCGTAAGTTTCCCGACTAAGTATTTCTGCTTTGAATATTCTGATACAAATCAGTGTGCAAAATTTATATCTAACGATCGTGCGAATCTGTTATGTTACAGAACTCGAAGAGAAAGACGACACAGATTTACCGTCATCAGATTATCAAATGACTTCAGAATTCAAATGGTTTAGCGATCCATCATCTGAATATAACGTTATTTTACCATTTACTTGGTACTCTGAGGGAAAGGCTTCGCGAGTAGCGTATATAAGAGACTCACTGATAAATATTAAACAGATTACTAGTGACATAAAACTTTCATTTGGAAGTAGTTGCAAAATAATAATTATAGAGGGTGTTGTTGACGCGACATTATGTCCCGAATTTTCCGAATCTACCGAGAAATTAAATCTTGAGTCTTCTGCACCTCAAACTGACATCGCGCTATCTTCTACGCAGACTAACACTATACTACCTTCTATACAAACTAGTACTACCGTGCCACCTTCTACGCAAACTACCTCTACCACTACTACTACTACTCACATCACCACTGAAGAAGATCACAATGATTATTATTATTATGATTATTATAATACTAAGCATGAATTTTTTCCTGATATTTTCACATCTCGAGAATGGGGAGTTCAATAAATAAGGTAAGATAAGATGGTATTTGTAAGTAGGGTATAAATACTAAAGTAGAAAACTATAGTAAACCGCGCTTTTACGCACATATTACTTTCTTCTTAGCATGTCTTCTTATTTATAAAATGACAAACTCTTATTATTTATAAAATAATATAAAACTTACTTTGACAAAAAAACTATTACTATCTGTTTTAAAGAAAAAGAGAAACGTTAAAATATTTAAAAATAGCAGCTACATTACGTAAATATAATATTTGTACATATTTTTTAAGTATGTATTACGTGTTATGTTTTAAAACAATATATGTTTTTTGTAATTCAAATTCATATTCCAGGACAAGTTTTCAACTATGTTACAAATACAACGATAGGAGCAAGATCGCACGGAAAAATCATATATATATATGAAAGTTTTTCATAAAATGATTTTTATTTCTCTTCTTGCCTTAAGAAAATATTATTTTTAATAATATCACCTCAAAGGCATTTATTTTCAATAAAGAAAAAAGCAATACAAATATCTTTTTTTTTATTCCACACATTGAGTAATCACTTATTTCGATATGTAAATATACAAATAAGTTAGGTATAAATAAAAAATGTAAGAAATTCTTTAAATTTTATAATTGTAGAAATGCATTGAGAAAGACCTAATACAAGGTTGAAAGCGTTTTGCACTAAGTTTCAATAAATTGATTCAACTATTCACACATCGACATCTGTGTTTGCTTCAATAGCCATAACACCTTTGTTTATTAAAAAATTCTTATAATTATCACATACTCATAATCATATATATTTTGTACAATATTACATGATCCTCTACTAATCAAATATCACGCTATCGCACGATTCAAACCAATAAATCCTTGACATTTGCTAGCGTCATTTTGTCACTTTTTTGTAGGAATCGAACTTTGCGCATCTGCGTTCGCTCCATTTTATCGGAATATTTTTGTTTTTTGTTTTGTTTTTTTTTTTTACATAAAAATGAATTTTACAGTTGCTTTTGCCGCTACACACGTCACTCTTGATATGCAAAATGCTCACGAAATTTGTTCGTAAAACTCGCGAGTATTCGACAAAGGCATGCCACGGAATAATTAGTGCGTTGCTCATATGCCTGCGCATAGGCCTTGAACTTATTCATGCTAATTTGTTACGATTTATACGATTTATAGTTGCGTTATCCGACAATGTTCTCCGTGCGTTGGTTAAATAACGCATTACAATTGGTCGTTTGGTGATTCGAGAACTAGGTCAGACTTGTGCGACTTCGTAAAATAATTCGATCGGGCTGCAAAATCGCGGGCGCAATGTAAGTGTGATTTCGCATTTCGAAAAACAAAATCAAGCTAATGTTATATAATTTGCACGTGCAAATATCTTTTTTTTTTTTCGGCATCTTTATAGAAAAACAACAAAACTGATATCGACATCATTACAGACGTCGTGATCGTTATTATAATTGTCACATCACTTTACCACGTCGACATTTTTTTAAATGTTGACGCAAACTTTGATATTTCCGACGCGCCGCGCAAAATAGATAAAGACCGCGCGAAACGTAAACACATATTACACACGTATCATACATATTCAAGTTACGTAAACGGAATATTTATTAACGTATGATGTATTGCCGATCTCTTATCAAGTTTTGTTGTTGATATGATATAGAGTCGCGCGCATCTTTATTTTAATGTCAGGCTCCCGGCCAATCTCGCTCGCGTAATCGCGCGCGCCGCTGACCTTACACCTTATACACGGTTTCGTGAAACATGCAAGATCGGCACACGACAGTTCGATCAGCATTTTGACCGGCGGACGAGCATTCCGGCAAATTGCCTTGTAAATCACGCGGCACGTCCTGCACGCGTCTTGTTAAATTTACGAATCACACGCGAGCAACTTTCGCGTGTGCGATCGGCGATCGATATCACACAACAAAAGAAAGACCTTTTCCTTCTTGTCGGGAACGGAAGGCGACGCGATCGTTGTAAAATCGACACGACAATCCGACACGCGGCTTCCCGCCGCGCTGTAAACAGTAGTTGCACGCGTTTGTGAGGGAGGCTTAGCGTGCAGGAGGCGCACACATTTCTACGACTGTCTTGTCCATAAAATACTGGTAACACCGGGCGATAAATTTTCGGTCGCTTTCGTGCATACGCGACCCCCGGATGAACCTGCTTTGTTACTCCGCGGAGTTAACATTTTGAGCTCGACGGTTATTTCGCCGACTGGCAAGAAACGTGTACAACAAAAGTGATAGCGGGAAGGAACAGTTATACAACGTACGTATGTATCTACATATTTTACATGTGTTTATTAATTAATAACTTAATGAATAAAGAAAAGTATACAATTAATATAGTTTCATGTTTGTAGCAAAACGTTAACGCTTAAGAGACTCTGTTGTTTGTACACATTTAGATTTTACGTAAACTGCTCGCAAAATTGTAACGGAGTTATAAATAATGGAAAGACAAGATAAGTGAAATATTATAATTTCGGTTTAACCTTCGTTTCACGATTACAACGTAAAGGAAATTCTAAAACTCTTTCTCGAATAATAAGGAAGTACGAAGTTTTTGTGAAATATTATCAAATATTTAGGATATATGTATATTTAATTTACAGAAGGATATATAATTTTTAGGAATATAATTTGTCATTCTTTTTTATGTTCTATAACACAGCGAAATGTCAAGTGGACGATTTGGTTTGGCGCAATTTGGCGGTCGATTATTACAATAATTACGGGCTTTTTCGATGAGGTGTTTCATATAACCTACATTCGGTGGAGACATGAAACTTGTTTTTTTACTTCTGTAATTTCGTAATATGATGACATTTCATTTAAAAAAAAAAAAAAAAACATTTTCCAGCACACAAACATTTCCTTGAATTTCTTTGAAGAAATAAATTCAGCTGAAGAACTTAATGAAGATTGCGGATACGATCGCGGTGATGTTGTGAGTTTGTTTTAGAAAGTAAATTTCTTTTATAAATAAATAATAAATTTGTTTATTAATGAAGATTGATTGATACGATCGCGATAGAAATTTACCTTCTAAAACAAACTCATAACATCATCGCAATTGTATCAACAATCTTGATTGGGTTTTTAAAACATTAGATTTTTGATCTTGTAATTGATTTTACGAGATACTCAGTCTCACTTATAATTACACGATAGGAGTGGTTAAAATCCGCCGCTTTTATGCGCGAGGATCCATATCAGAAACTGGTAATAACAGCTCCCGATTTACATTGTTATCACTCCCGGCATGTGATAACGATGTAAATCGGGAATTGCTACCGGTAGTAATACCAGAAAATGTATGTTGCTATGTACGTGCGGGTTTCATAAATTTTTGCCGGTAATGTTCGGGAACGGCTGGAACATAGCCACGTCCAGCCGCGTCTTTCCAGCGACGCGATCGAAGTTTCAGCCCAAGTCGTCTTTTTGCATTCAGATTCTCAAGGAAGGTAGTAAAGGTAACCACCTTACACAGCGGAGCATTTTCTACCTTAGTGGTGGCAGCACGTAGGAGGGGTTTCGTAGTGGGGGTTGCTTCTCGAAGGCTTAAAAGGTCTTCTGACGTCCTTGTAACACGCAGTCTTGGAAATCAAACATACAAGTTATTCCGCGTAAGTGGATCAGAAGTGCGAAGACGAACACATTTCTCATCTGACTTTGTCGCCCCCGTCGAACTTTGACCGGTGTGATTTGGTGCGCGATAAGAGATCAATTTGTAAACAAGATAAAAGAGGGAAGAGGCTCGCACGGAAGTGAAGTAAAAAACGCTACGCGGGAGAAGAAAGTGATTTTTTTTGTGAGTCTTCTTTTGAAGAGAAATTCAGATCGGTGTGATTTGTGACTGTATAAGAGTGATAATAATATAAAATATTATTTGCATAACGCAATCTCGATCAGGACCATGAGGGAAGGATTGGGTATTCGAGTAATTGTAGCAATTCTGCTGGTCATATCGATATTTTCGCCGCCGATGTCCGGCGCTCTTACCACTTTCGGGAAGAGCAATCAGAATAATCCGCCTCAAAACCCACCGCAGCCGCCAACACCAGGTAACGAATAATTCAAAAATATGTTGTATAAACATTGTAATAAACAAGTTTAAATTTTCTCTTTATTTAATATAGACCTCTTGAAATTAAAACTTCTAATTTAGCGTTCTTTAAAGAAAAAATATTAATTACTTATTATTTTAAGTATATATTTCTGCAAAAAAAAATAAAGTTTTATATACTTTTTATATATAAATTATAGAATAATTTTACTTTTATATAATTTGTCCAATAACTTTTAAACGTACGAGTGTATTAAAAAAGTATAATATTTTGTCATCTTGTTGTGCCTGTATTATCGTACTTTATTTTATTTTTTGTGACACGAGATTACACGGTACGTTTCGCAACGGTAACTTAAGATTATTCCAGAATTATCAAGAAAAACATCCTCCTCTATTCTGAGAACACATGTAGATTAATGCTCAACGATCAAACGCACGATCCTTATAATCTTGCGTAGAAATAAATATTCTAATATTCAAGGTGTCAAGGTTAAACCAGGTTAAAATGCGGATGAATACTAATGCTCTGCTGAATGTCAGAGTGTTCTGAGCACGACTTTTTGACGTTCACACCTACACCAGTTTAAGACATAATTGCATTTACGATTGTACTTCACAATTGTCTTTGCGATATTTCTGCTCGATAATAAAAAAAAAAAAAAAAGAAACGAACTCCGCAAATGCGGAGGTGAATGCTAATGCACCGCTGAATGTCAGAGTCTAGAACAACTTTTTGACATTGGGTTTTACTTCTCTCAGTAATAAAAAAAAAAAGAAAAAATAATGCATCTCGAATATTTATGTGTTTAAACATAAAAAAAACCAAACAGAAACACGTAGAGTTTACAATACGATCATATAATGAAATGTTGCTCTGTTGCTCGCGGATTTAATTAACGTAATCTTCGGTGAGATTTGCTTGAAAGAGAAATTGCACTTTCCATAGACATAGAACCGCGTTTATAGACGTTATATTTAAAGGTCAAGAAAATTTACATGATTCTTATACGGAATAATATTTACGGCTGCAGTTGGTAAAGCTCGCGAGTGCAAGATGGATAATGACTGTGCTGGAATTCAAAATACTACGTGCATGTCGGATCGCAAAGATGGAAAACTTCGATGTCTCTGCGGCGATTACACGGCGCCTCTTAACGGTGCTTGCGCCAATAAATATAAAGGTAAAGAAATTGTTTTGCAATGTTAATTACGCCATTGGTGCGCGAATTTTTTTTTTGTTTCTTTTTTTTTTTAAGTTTGAAACTATGTTTGATGATATTTTGTAGAACTCAGATTTGTCATTTTCGTTAATTTTTCACGCGTATGTTTGCATTTCCGACGGTTCGCGCGTACCTAACTGATACGCGACATATTATCGCTGTAATTCGTTAGAATAGTCGGTCTCTCTCTCTCTGGATGCGACGAGTTACTTAACTGAGCGAGAGCCGGCACCCGGGAGATATTTGCATTTACTTTACGTGCTGTGTTGCAATATGTGAACACACATGACGGTGTTCGTAGTCGGTCTACGGTTATCTATGCAAATTGGTACGCGCGGGTAAAGAGTATCGCCCCTGTCTACCTTCGGCTGTTACACCGACACAACCTGTTTTTCTCACCGCCGTGTTCCCCGCACGACAGGAAAAGGTGCGAAAGTGGAACGGAAATCAAAAATAAAAACAATAACGTTTTTATTCGCCGATCTTGCAAATTGCGCTAAATTTTTTGACGGTATTAAAACCGTTTATATGATTTATTATATATTTTTTTAAGTGAGTTAGCAAAATACGCTCTTCGTGTGCGGAATGTAACAATCATCGATGAAAATCGCCGCGATCATCGTACCTGGTACAATGCGATCGAGTACTTAGCGACTTTTGAAAGTTTGGAAACCGTACAACGTGTACCAAGCGATTTGCAGTTCGATATTGCAGTATACGTGATATTAGATGTTCGTAAAATGGTTCGGAAACTCGGCAATTTGCTCTGATTAAATGATTGCTATGTACGTTTTATTTCGCATTTTCGGCAAGATTGATGATGATTCCCTCTTGAATATTTTAAGCGCAATTAGCCGTCGTTTAAGAATCGATCGACGACGCTTAAAAAGTTATGTCGACACACTTCGAGGAATTAAAATTGAGCTGAGCTTCTAACGTAATAATTCATTTAATCGTAAAAGTGATTAAATGAATTATGAATCGTGAATTTTATATGAACACTCGGACTTGATAAAAATTACATTTGCCAATATTTGTTTTATACGTTGTATAATTATACGTTGTATAATTGCGCGCGTTATTTTACAATATACAACAAAAAATTAATAATAATAATTAATTTGAACACCGAAATAAAAATATAGAAATGTTTCTTTTTATCGCGCAGTTTCTACACGCGCGTGAAATATTTCAATTAATTTCACGAATGATATTCTTTGCTTGTAGCAATTCATGCACTTTGCACCAATAACGACGAATGTATACTAAACGCTCATTGCGTTCAGAGCAACAGTACTAATAAGGGAAAACGCTGTTACTGCAAGGAGGGATATTTCGAAGAAACTCCAATGTTTTGCAGCGGTAAGTCTCAAATTGTTTGTTTAAAAAAAAATTTCTTCACATTAAATAATGTAATTGATGAAACATTTCAGAACAGTTGAAGTTAAAATAATGTATTTTTAAGAATATATTTTTAGTCCGTCTTGTTATGTAAATCAGACATTTATTAAAAATTTTATTATTAAAAATTAAAAAAAGACGTACTGCGATTTGTGCGTCACCGCTTGTGCTCTTTCATCATTTAATTAATCTAATATTACGAGGAAATTGAATTACATAATTATATATCATTCGACTGTTTTTGAAAATTTATAATCAACATAAAAAATAAGTTACATGTGCGATATGAACGACGGAAGTTATTATCTCTCTTTACAAAACAAATTCTGTGTTAATTAAATTTCTTTCGATACACTCTCCCTCTCTCTCTTTGAAAAATATCAGTAATTCAAGACGTATTTACATTCTTTGTGTGTAGGTTGCTCATCTGTCTTCACGTTGTACACGACGACTCTTCTTCTGGCTGCTTCGATCGTGCTAGGAAAACTTAACTACATATAAACATTTTTCTCGAGCTTTCAATATTTATCTTGAAAATTCTTGAATCTAAACGAGATAATCCTCAGTAGAGAATCAATAATTCTTCGAAACTAACGAATCAAAGAGATATAATGACTAAAAATACGCTTACTTATAACATACTAATCTCGTTAATTTAACAAAAATAAACAGACGTCCTGAAATATTTAAGAGTGATAATGCACATGTTTGTGCGAAATAGTTGCAAAGTCTAATCGAAGTCTTTCGACTCGACAAAAAGTACGTATATATATTTCGGCAATCGTACACTTTTTCATATTTCTCTAGCAGAGATTCAATCACTTCTTTTTCGCAACGATTCGTTTTAAAATTGAGAGACATTGCGTCTATATATTTAATCATCTTACAATTAACGTATCGATTTACAGATAATAGATCTTAGAGTTGGCCATAAGATGTATATTGCGAGAGAAAAATTCAAATAGTTTTAATAATCTTCTATAAGGATAATATCCGGAGTGGTTTAGAGTTTCCATTTCATTCTCAATTTCAATTTGTTTGTAACAAATAAATGTATCAGAATTGTTTTGTTTTTTGTTCTTTTATAATTCGAATATTTTTTTAAAAATTCAAGATGTAATGTTCGAATTAGATTTTACTGACGCAGTAAATGTTTTACGAAATTACACTTCTAAGTACGACTTCTTTACTACTTACACATGGTTTAATAAATACAGCGGACACTTAACTCTAAATGACTCCGTATGCGATTGTCAATCAATCGTAAGTAAGTAATCGTTATTACTTAAATCGAACATTTAAGCTATAGTCCCTACAGTTAAAACAATATTGGTGTAGTTTATTATTATTACAAAATGGCAGTTAGGTAAATAAGATAATATGATATTAGAATAAAACTGATTAGCGTATCATAAATATAAAATTTTATCCGTACCACTTGCGCAAAAAAACACACCGCTTGCAGAAATTTATTTTACTGGTGTAATCACAAAATAATAATTTATTTTAACTAATAAAAGCATCGATATTTTGAATATCAACAGATGTTAATACTCAAAATAAACCTTTGGCCATACATACCGTTAATAAATTTCTGTAAGGAATTTCTGCCATATTTAATTACTATTACCATATTGCAATTTTCGTATTGTTTTCTAATAACGAGTGCGAAATAATATAAAATTAATGCAAATACAACTTATTATCAGATTCTTTCATAGTTTATCGAATTTGTCTCGAGCTTTAGAATTCGGAGGTAAAAAAATGATGCTTTAACAATAAATTTTTGTAGTGTTTATGATTAAGCTTCGCGTTTTAACTGCACCGAAGGATAAATATATACTTACCAAGAGTGTACACGCACGTAATAGTAATAAATTTATTATAAATTTGTATGATAAAAATAATATAGAATATATAACACAAATGTAAACTACATTTATCTTTCCTATGATATACCAAGATTCTTCGTTGTTATACAACTTCGTTAACTTAATTCTGCACATCACTTTCGCATTGATCGTGTATGTGAATAAATGCACTTGGAATTTCTCTGCTATATATATATATAATTGTGCATTTTTAACAATATATCACAAAAATTTGTTTTACTCCAACTTTTTAACATTTAAGTGCACATCTTTTCCAAAACTTTGTAATGTGATAATAATCAATGATATATGTAAAATTACTTGTAACAATTAATATCTGATGTGTCATTTTATGTATCCAAAGATATTTTGTGCACATAAATAAATTCTTCAAAATCTTTCAGAATATGTGTTATTCAACATTTATGTATATTCAAAGGAGAAAAAGGGTGATACACAAATGTTTTTAATTAATTGATACAAAATATCTCATTTATTTCGATAAGAGCACACAGAAGTTGATTATTTTTTCCTTAACACTAATTGTGTTATAGCATTCCCTGTTTGCCCGCCAAACTGGAACGTATCCGTGGGAAGTTGACTTTCCAGTTCGAAATCTGCAAAGAACACTCGTATCGTCACAAAACACGTGTATTGTATAAAATTTTTTAAACACAATCGATATCAACAATATTTTTCTCTTGCAAAAAGATGTTTTTTTGACAGATTTATACTAACACTTGCTGTAAATTAAAAAAAGCTAAAAGAGTGTTATATAATTTTTATTTCAAAGTTACTAACAATTCGCAAAATGCTGTAACAATTCTGCTTTGGTCCAGTTACAGGAAGTCAGCACCAAATATCCTTTCGGCAGAAGGATGCGATGTATGGTTTCAATATATTTCTGTCTCTTCGCTGACGGATCATCCGGATTCAGACTAATTGCGTCGTAGGTGCCTTTATCGTGAACGAGTTTGTAGTCACGCGACAATGTATCGTTAAGAATATCGCAAACTTCTAATTTCACATTCGGCAAATTGTTATCGTTAAGTATCATGCGGGCAAGATCTACCGCTTTCTGCGAGTAATCCACCCCCGTCAAATTAGCGAATCCCGCTTGAGCGAGTCCCACCAAAGTCATCGCATTGCCGCATCCTACGTCGATTATCTCATCGCTATCTTTATTTAGATCCAGTTTCGCGGCGATCCATCTAAAAAATGCAATTGTTTTTTTTTTCTGTGTTTGTTCAGTTCTGTATTTGAACTTAAAATTCAAAAAGAAAAAAAAAAGAGAAAAAGAAATCATTTGCAGGTCTCTGCAATTATCCCGCTCTCCGAATCCGTTCGCGCGAGTTACCGACAGCAGAAAATAGAAAACACTACACGATCGCGCTTGTCAACTAATAGAGTTTATCACCGCCAGATGTCGCTAATAGCCGGCACCGGCCAGAATCGTGTCGCGGGTTGTTTACGTTTCCGCGGGAAAGCTCATTGATTTTCGGCGCGGTGCTGTTTACACCCGCGGTGTGAAAACGCGTGTTCGCGGTTTCAGCCACCTTTCGGCTTCGACGATCACGTACCGTACGATCTTGCGCGAGTTGGCCGCGCCGAACCATACCTCGCCCACGTCGCCGTGGTCACGGAAGTTGTCAAGCTCCTGCGCGTAAGCGTTTTCCCAGCTGCAAAAACACAACACACGGGCAACGTCAAAAAAGCGTCGAGTGATGCACAACGGGCGTCGCGCTGTCAAGGTAAGTGACAACAACAACTTACAACTCTCGAGTACCCAGCTCCGACGACGTCAGTTCCTCGTTATGTTGCTCCATCGTGATTATTCTCTCCGTGACAAATTTTTCTGTTGAGTCCGATTGACGAACGATAGCTCCGGATCGCACGAGAGATTTTCCGTTCGCGATTGTCGCGCGCGAGACCGAAGAACAATTGAACGAGCAAGTTCACGTTGTCATAAGTTTTAATATTGTTGCAAGCGAAGTAGAGTAGACGAGATTCAAGTCGAAATTGGCTAATTAGACAATATTCTTACGAACCGGTTTTTTTTTTTTTTTTTTTTACGATTTCAACGTGACCAAGTTGTTGCTTGACAATTTCGTTGGTAGATGGCAGTGTCATTCAAAGAACTGTCAAACAGCTGACCAATGCACCCGATGCAATAAATTTTACGTGTACGAATGTGCAAAAATAAAAGTGTATGTGTGATATAATTAAAAAAAAAAAAATCTTAATTAGTTACTAACGTGCGATTGCAAGTTAAGCGAGGAAAAAACAAGTATACTGCGTTTTACTGCTTGACAAAAATTTCTTTTCACAACTACGTATTTACTTGCTCTTTAAACTTTAAACAACAATGGAGTCATACGCTCCATTGTTGTTTAAAGTTTAAAGTTTTTCTAACGCATTGCGTAAATAATGCGGCAATGCTATCTGGCGGCAAAAACAGCAAATGCAAAGAACAGAGTTGCCAATCTCGAGAGACGTGGAAAACAATATTTGCGATTTTTCGAGAGTCAGGAATATCAATAAAATAATGGTTTATAGTAATAATACAATGATTTATTTGTTTGTAATATAAATATATATAAGCATATGTACATAAATATATATAAGCATATGTACATAAATATACGTACACGTGTTGTTTCTTATTTATACAAAACGCACGTAAATTATTTTTCACATTGTCATTAGCTAGGGAAGATCTTTTTATAAAGTTGTTAACTTTGTTTTTGATTACACATTTATATCGCTCGAACACGCACATGGATTGCGTGTGTATTTGCGCGTTTTGGGTCGAACCTAACCTTATCGCGGAGTCGCGGCTTATGATCTAACGGCACCTGCTGTCATCATGATAGTGCAGAAAATAAACTTGTGATAACTTGTACGTCGCAATTTTCAGCTCGGATTGTCAAGTGCTATTTGTTTCGACATGAGTGTTAACAACCTGTTTACGAACATTTTGCGTTTCGGTAAGTAAATGGAGGTGGGTTTTTTAAATTGATACTTTTTTGACAGTTACAAGGTGATGTTAACAAGATCACACGTTGCAAACCAAGATAATGTATATTTCGTGTCTTAATGTTTATTCTCGCATTTTGTTCTGCATAATTTTGGCCAGTTTATCAGTGCGATGTAACACATTAACAAAATTTCAAAGTTCAACGTTCATCTTTTGTTGCTTGAGATGATGTGCAGTACTAATTTTTTTTATTTATATTTACTGTTATATTTACAAACGTTAATTGTGTCAAACTTATGATCCTATTGCGTTCCAATTGCGCTTAGTTTCTGGAATTGTGGCGTATTTTGGTTTTTTTCCCAAGGTATTATGCATGTTGCGGGATTGTTTTGTACAATAATTGATGTAACATTAGACAACAGTAATGTGATCTTATTACATACGTAGGACGACGATGTGTGAAACCTGCTGCTGCACCACGGCGCTATGCTTCCGTTGCCGCAAGTCCAGCAGACAGGGACAGCGTGAAATCAAAAACTGGCATACTAATGTTAAACATGGGCGGTCCTTCCAACACCAGTCAAGTACACGAGTACTTGTTAAGAATAATGACCGATCGTGATATGATTCAATTGCCAGTTCAAAGGTTTTTTTTTAAATTTAATGCTACGTCTTTACATGAACAGTTTTACGTTACACGAGAGAGGTATCTTTTACAGAAGTGTGTTGCAGTACATTAGGTCCGTGGATAGCCAAACGTCGCACTCCGGAAGTGCAGAAAAAATATTCGGAAATCGGCGGTGGATCGCCAATTCTACAATGGACGAACAAACAGGGCGAACTTTTATGCAAAAAGCTGGATAAAATTTCGCCTGAAACCGCACCTCACAAACATTACGTTGCCTTTCGCTATGCTGATCCTCTCACGGAAGAAACTCTTGAGAGGATACGCAAGTATGATCGTCACACGTGTTTTTCTTAGGTTTAATACAAATGCAAAATTTGTAAATGCGAGAAACTGGAGAATAATGTGAGAGAATCAGTGTGAAATTAATTTTGCAAGCTTCTTCTTTTCAGCGACGGTGTGGAGCATCTTGTATTATTTTCTCAGTATCCTCAGTATAGTTGTTCAACTTCGGGCTCCAGCTTCAATGCCATATACAATTATTACAAAACTAGGTGATTACGTTATTTCTTACCTGATGACAAGTCGTTGATTGATTTTTTATCTGTTGTATACAAATTTATATATTTCTCAATTGAGTATGTATTTGTTCATGTACGTCGCGTTTCCAATGTGATTTTGCGCAAAATAAAGAAAATCAAACTGACTGAAAAACCGAAGATATAATAAAAAAAGTGTAAAAATTAAACTGCACCGAAAAACATGTAAAAAATTACATCCTTGCAGAGAATTGCCAAGTGGGATGAGATGGAGTATAATAGACAGATGGGCAACTCATCCGCTCCTTGTGAAAACGTTTGTCGAAAGAATTAAAGAGGAGCTCGCGCAAATTCCTAGCGAAAAAAGAGACGACGTTATAATTCTGTTTTCAGCTCACTCTTTACCGTTGAAGGTTATTATTGTTATTGTTAAGTTTGTGTTTAATTTTTAGTGTTAAATTTTTCATTTAACTTTGTGATCGCTTAAGATTTATAGTCTTGTCTCTCTTTCTCCGTAAACTCACTTTAGGTTGTGAATAGAGGAGATTCTTATCCGTCGGAAGTTGGAGCTACAGTTGCGTTAGTCATGCGGGAATTAAATTACTGTAATCCGTACAGTTTGGTATGGCAATCCAAGGTACATACGTAAATGCGAATGCGTGTGCCCCTGTGTTAAAATTTAAATATATATCGAATTAGCCGAATTTTTTAGAGAAAGATCTTCGCGTTTAATACATTATGAAATTCACGAAAATATACAGGTCGGACCTACGGCTTGGCTAGGACCTTTCACCGACGAAGCGTTAAAGGGTTACGTTAAACAGGGCAAGAAACATTTTATTCTGGTTCCGATTGCGTTCGTAAATGAGCACATTGAGACCCTTCACGAATTGGACATAGAATATTGTCAAGAGCTTGCCGAAGAAGTGAGGAAGTTGCCGTTTATCTTGCTGTTTTTTTTTTTTTTTTTTATTTAATTTGATAAAATCGCGACGATATATGTTGTATCTTCGATTTTTGTTTTTCAGCTTGGTATCGAGACGATACGACGAGCTGCGGCGCCTAACGACCACCCTATTTTCATCGACGCTCTAGCGGATATTGTTGCGTCGCATATCAAATCGAAACAGTCTATAAATCCTAAATTTTTAACGCGATGTCCTCATTGCGTAAATTCTAACTGCGCTGCCAGCAAAAACTGGTACGCTAAAATCTGTAGAATTTAGTATTATCGCGCGCAAACACGTTTGTGGAAATAAACATTTGTATTAATATTTCTAATTATATTGGTTTGCAATATGTACAAATCATATATATGACTCTTCCAATGTACGATTAAATTGACCACGCATTTGTGTAACAAGTTACATAGATTGTTAATAATAATATTGTTGATAATCGAACGAAAATATATATACAGATATGTGTAAAATGTATGTTTGCGTGTATGAATATCGTGCAATAATATCGAATGACACACAACACTTGTCTTGTTTTCTACAACATCCTTGCAAATTTACGATTTTAGAGCAACTTTCGTGGAGAAAGTGAGCGCGTAATAATAATTGCTAAAATCGCGTTTGCTTGCATCTTCTTCTCTATTATATTTAACGATACAACCTGATAGTAGTATATTGTTCTTAGATAAATACACAATATCCGATTCTCGTCAATAATATCTCTTTCGTTTATTCGGTAGATTCCGCTCGGGTCTCGCGCATTCAGCGCGTATTCCCGCTTTTTCCACGAAGTTGAATCACGATTGCATCAGGTGCATTGGCGTTCTCGATGTTACACTTCGCCTTTGCTCGCTCTCCGAGGCTTTGTCTTGCAACAATTGTCACGACAATCAGACCGTAATAATTCGCATCCATTGCGGGAGAACGCACTTACACATTTTTATTCAAACCAAACATGATAATTCAGCAGAGTTTGAAAAAAAAAAAAAAAGATTGTCGCTATCGTGAACGGTATTTTCAAATCTAATCTAAGTTGTCAAAATTTCTCAAAAAATAGATCTTCAAATTTTAACACCGCTTGCAAAAAAAAAAAAAAAAATTACCACGCAAATATGATTTTTTAAAAACTTGTTTTTATTTTATCTTTAAAATACTAGTTCGATTTTTCCAAAAAAATACTGAACCATCAGTTTCGAATACGCGCCAGTTTTGTTAAAAATTAGTTTTCGAAAAAAGAAAAACCACAACCTCGCGCTACGCTATTCAAATATTAATTCTAAAAAAATATCTAGCACGATATATTTGCACAGAGTGTAAACGCGCGCGTGTGTATAGAACCTTATTTTTTATATTATTTTTCAAAGCGTTCTCTTAAGCTTCAAAGAGTGTTTATTTTGATAAGATAAGATCAATAAACGTCCGACTTCGTTGTGTTTTTTTTTTATTTTTTTTTATTTTTTTTTATTTGGTCTCGTCCCAAACAAACCCATAGCGCGGTGTTATCCATGGTGCATTAAACGTAAGCATTTTCCCAAGCACATCGTGTACAACGACCGTTCGATTTTCTTCGCAGGTTCCTTACGAGGGGTTTATCTCAGCGACAGTGTCGTCGTCGTCGTCGTCGTCGTCGTCGTTGTCGTCGTCGTGCCGCCGCCGCCGGCGCGCTCGAGATATCGAACGTGAGACGCGCGGCGCTGGTTGCCGCCGCGCCGGCTATATAAATGCGCGGCGCCGGCGGTCGCGCTCAGTATGTGTCATGCATTGCGAGCGGGAACGTCGTCTGTGATGGCGGCCCGAGTGCGGTTGAAGATGCGCCGCGACACCGGCGTGTCGCCGCTCACCGTTCTCGTCACCGTAATCGTCGTTTCGAGCCTAGTGAGTGGGATGTTCGAGCACCGTCACTGCGATCACCAGCATCCGCGGGCGCACGAGGTGAGTTGTGAAGCGAAAGCACACCACACGAAGGGTGATTCTAACCTCTCTTTCGCGCTCCGCTTTACAATTTTGCGGTTTGCCGCCGCGCTCTCTTTCTTTATCCTGCTCTTGTTTTTGTTCCCTCGCTTTTCTTCCCTCTCGCGCGCGTTTAACTCTCACGAACGCGTCACGACGTTGTCTCGCAAACGCGGTATCTCTCGATCTCGTTCTCTCTCGACGTTCGCTCCGATATCCGGATGTCCTGCCGTCCGCTCGCGCTTTCCTTCGTCGTCTTTTCTCTCCCCCCCCCGACCCGAAGAGATTTTTATCGCGATTTTTCTCGTCGAGAGCAAACACCGTCCAGCTGAGCGCGACGGATTTCCTACAGCTGACTGTCAATTTTTGACAGCACACTCGACACGTGTTTCGTTTTTGCGTTACTTTCTTTTCTCTTTCTTTTGCTCATATAGTGTTTTTTTTTTTTGTTCACGCGAGATAATGATTTTAATAACGATCGAGTTTTCTAAGACTGTTGAGTTTTTTTCCAAAACTGTTAACGTAATCTTTTCGATAGCAATAGATAAACGCGTACGACGTCGTGTTGACATTCGTCGTCGTTTAAAATCCGCGCGGTAACACAAGTGGATGAGACGTTAGAATCGTCCTGTGACACAGAATATTAATGCTTCATAGCAAAATCTCGAGATAAGCGTGTATTTCTCATTCACGTGCCGTGCACGAGTTCCGCGTCGTGCTGACAGAAGGAAGACTTCGGTGAATGTTTCCATGCGCGACGGGGTAGGAGGGTGAGAAAGAGAGAGAGAGAGAGAGAGAGAGAGAGAGGGAAACACGTGTTTTCGGAGCAGACACGTGCTGCTGCGGGATGTCTCGCCACGCTGACCTTTAACAGCTCTCGCGCGTCGCGCTTTGCGAACAATCGATCTTCTTGACGTTTTCAGCGCGCGATTTGCTCTAGCCGCGATTAGTTATTAGCGTATCGATTGTTGTTGTTGAAAACAATTATTTGTTAAGAGTTCAATTTTTGTGCGGGCGAATGATATAAAAATTAGACGTAGATAGTAGAGTTTGAGAGGCAACGCCTTTGACAGATTTTGTGTTGTGTAGTTTTTGCAAATTTATAAATTGAGTTTTCTCTCACGAGTATTGTCCAATGTTTTTTTTTTCGGAAGGAAAACAAAATTTATTAATTTAATACGTTGCAATACACATAAATGTGCGTTTCGTATCTCTCTCTCTCACTCTCTCTCTCTTTATCGAATGCTTTTGGGTGCTCTTTGAGAACCGTTTAAGCGCTTTATCGATATAATTATTGTGTATCTCATTAAAGCTCTGTCGTTCGCCATATTACGCATTCTTCAATCTGCGTCGCATAATATTGCGCGCAGAATGAATTTTGTTGACACTTGATATTTGATGAATGATTTATGAAGCTGTAACAATTACATTCACATAATGAATATTAATGTTAATTGTGATAATTTAGTCATAAATATTGTCGCGAAGCAACTGTATCAAAACGCGTTTAACGATTTTGCATCTCATTTCTCTGATTTCGTTTTATCACCGAATTATAAAAATAAATTACAAAAATAGATAGAAGAAGATGAGAAGTTCGAGAAGTTCGAGTGTGTGTTACAAGACGAGAGTTTTAGGTTTTTCTTTGACATTTGTTTTGGCTTCGCGCGATCCAAGTTTCTCTAAACAAAAATAACAAAACGATTTGACGCGCTCTGTATGGTTGAAGGGCTTGGTATTGTTTATCTGAATATTGTAGCAGTTTCGCGTAGATTTTAATTTACCCTTTGAATGCTCGGCTATTTTTCGCACGAACGGAAAACAATCGACGAATACGGTAGACGTTTTAAAATCGCTACGAACGAACTGACCGATCGTACGGTTTCTATCTCGATGTTGCTCTTTGCTCCCGAAAAAATAGACTCAATTTGCAGAGCTGGAAGTGTTGTACGCGCGGATTTTCTATTCGCGACGGAAAACATAACCCGATTGACTTTTCACAGATTGGCAATTTTTTTGCGGGTTGACGTGGTTGACGACAATCTTAGAACACGCAGAAAAAAAATAAGGGCAAATAATTTTCCATTCTTTCTGGTGTTTTCTACAAGAGTAAAATCTTGAGTTTCATTTGATTGGACATAATATATAATACACATTTACATAAGAATTGCAAATCGATTGTTCTTTATTCGTTCGTAACGCAAGAATAGTTTTTTTCTCACGCAACAATCAAATTAAAAAAAAAAAAAAGGTGTCTCCGCGGATTCGCTTACTATCGATCTTTCTTCACCAAAAAAGAAAAAAACAGTTTTCCATTTCCAAAACTTGTTATTGAAATTGAGAAAAAGCGGAACATCTCGATGTGGCACAATGTTGTTGCTTCCGGCAACTTCAGGTTTTGCGCGATCCGACGATTCTATTGTTGAAACACACATTGTGTGTGCGAGTGTCAGATATCGCGCAAAACAAAAGTTTCAACATTCAATTTTTTTATTTCTTTTATTTTTTTTTTTTTTCTGATTGGGGAGAATAGAGAGTAAACGTAAAAACAATCCGCAACCATCGCGTTAAAAACATGTACACGTGTGTCTGCAAAACAAACGATATATTTTATCGTACAAGTGTATAGTGTTACGTCAGTTTTAACTTTTCCACCTCTCTGTATGTAGCGGTGTGTTATAGTTTACCAAAACTTCCCGAGAGTATTTGTCAATGAATTAACTTTCTCCTACGCTCCTATACGGTATAGTCAGAATTTATACCTGCGGTGCAACTTGTCCTGGCGAAACTAGCCAGTTTCTAACAGTCCGACGAACTGCCTCGCCGTAGTCGGTGGCATTTCGTACGTACGCGCGACGAGAGTGTATTCGCTTTAAGGGCCGCATTCAAACACCATTTGAATGCGAATATAAAAGTTTACGACGACACACAGCGTCGCGACGATCCTCGTCGTCGTACAAGAGAGATCGCGCGAGGGTATTCGCGGATGTGTGTGGAATTTTCTTCGTTCGCGACGCGATCTCGCTTCGTCGTTCACCGATTTCGCGCTCTCTTGAGAGAAGACGTAATTCACATTTTTTGATACGATCTCTCTCTCGATCTCCCTTTATCCCGCGCGGCGATGCAAAGGAAAGCGCGCGAATAGAATTACGCGTCCTTTGGTCCTGGCGCCCGGCCAGCTGTTTATCGGTTGCTCCCTTTCTTGCTCGCGCCGTATTCTGATAATAACGCGGAAGTTACCGGAAACGTTTCTTCGCTCAAATTGCTATTATATGTAGCGCGAATTGCACATTCGCACCGCAAAAACTACGAAATTTAGTTGCCCTCTTTTTCTGCTCCGCGCATATAGCGGCATTAAATGTGTGTGTGTGTGAGAGAGAGAGATCGACGAAAATGAGCGCGAGAAATTCTCGAGCAAATTTAAAATTTAACCAAGTACGACGTGAATTAACTACGTCATGTTAATTTCACAAATTGTGATGAACAACCGTGTCGAGATTTAAATTCGTTTGACGTTTTAACGAAATTGCGTATGCGCAATACGCGGTTTATAAACGAAACAATTACACACGTAATACTTTCCGTATCTCCACGTTTCCGTCGGGAGAAGCGCGCGTCGAGTGAGTTTTCATTACGATTATCTTCGTAATCTTCTCTCTCTCTGAAGCGGGCGCGCGCGCCGCGCCCGTGCCGCTCCGAGCGTCGAGTTCTCATTACGATTATCGGAAGCACTTTGCGCTCTTCTCTTACCGCAGTGTCGTGGCCGTGAAATAAAAGTAAAAAAACGAAGGTCGCACGATTTCGTAGAGAAAAAACTTTTTTTTCCGCGCTTCTCAATGAGAGCGTACATACGAATGAAATTTCGCACAATATTCGCGCGCGTGGGCGTGCGTGCCTCGCGCATACACCGAAAAAATTGTATTCTTGTTTTGAGGATATCCCACTTATTTTAAGTATATTTTATACTAAAATAGACGCCAAGAAGAGTTTCTTATTTTAAGAGGAAAATCCTCTAAATAGTAACATTGATAAGAATATATACTGATTAGAATATAAAAAGCCTCTATATATAGAAAAACATATATATCTCACTATCGAAAAAGACTATATTCTTAAATTAAGAATATATTGTTAAATAAAGAATATATTCTTAATTTCAGAAGAATATCATCTAAAATCTTTAAGATTTTTTAAGTATAAAATCTTCTACTTACGAGAATATAATTTTTTCGGTGTAGACAACGATAGGATATATAATTTTTCTTCTGATTTATTTACGGCTGAAACCTCGTGCAAGAAGAGGTTATTAAGAAACTCGATTCCCATCGAAGTTTATGGGCTTCGTGATACGTGCCGTGCGATACATACGGATCGATGAGGGGGGAAACTTGATATATATATATATATATATATGTGTGTGTGTGTGTGTGTGTGTGTGTGTGTGTTAAAAGATATCGTGGAAACCGGACACGCGACTCCGTGTGTGTTGCATATTTTTTTCACTGATTCCTCGCCGCCGCGCAAACTGATCGATTGGGGGCATTAAGACTTGTCCGTCTTGACAAATTATAGACGGCAATTCAAGGGAGATCCGTGATAGATTATATCGGCAACGAGTGTATTCTCATCCGGTCGATCGGTTTATTTATGCGCGTTCTATTTATTCTCGTTGGCGAAAATCTCATTTCGCGAACACATATTTACTTTTCCGCGATGAAACATTTTCGGTGGTTATATATAAAATCGTCGAAATCTGAAGCGAGAGAAAGACGCGAGAATGTGTGTTTGTATAATATACATACACATACATATATTCAATTCCGCTCTCAAAACGTCGTGAAATTTTAATATGAAAGTATTTGTAGGAATTAAATACGTATTCCTGGGCAATGTAACGTTTTATTTTCAGTAATTCAGAGCTAGTTGTATTACGATTTTGCGTGCTAAATTTTCTTGACAAAAGCATTTCGTTCAATTGTACA